AGCTGACAGCTTTCCCCGCACAATCCAGTACCTCCCTGCAGCAGCCACTGATACCTACTTGGGCGATTAAATATTTGGCAAAGAAACTCCGCCGCGTTTCAAGCAAAGGGAGGAACATTTAGGTTTCTAGGCTCCAGGAAGCAATTTTCACAGCAGTCCTAATAGCGGACGAGAGTCAAAAGCTAAAATCCCTGTCGAGGTGCAAAGCTGAGCGCCCAGTCCACCAGCTCTGGGTGGAAGCTGAAGCCCCCCACCAAACTCCAGAAACTCTGAAGTGGAGATGCTTCCTTGCTGCAGAAGTTCAGCCGCGCAGCATGCATTAGGGGGAGCTGAGCCCCAACGGAGAGGTCTCCAAATATTACTGATTGCACTTCAGCGTCCAGTATGTTAATTCTCAAGCATCTTCCATCACCTGCATTTCAAACCTCCGCTCAGCGCTAAATACTTGTGTGAGGGATGAGGGTGCTATCTTAGAGACAAAAGGACTGAGATACAAGCAAGATAAGGGCATGTTTACAGGAATTTCGATGACTTATCTGAGCTACTTTAAATCAGCTGGCTCGCATTATGCTAGCGCAGAGTTCAGCATAAATGGCTGAGATAAATGCTTTGCTTTTTGAGATGGACTGCAGCCTGCATGGAGCTCCACGGCGCTGTGGGTATGCTGCTAGCAGTACCCAGCCTAGATTAAAGTTGGCTAAGCTATGTCCATACAAGCTGCAGTCACAGCAGCAATTGCCATATGGCTGCGCTCGTGTGACCTGCTGCCTGACATGGGCTAAATCACTGCCAGGGCCAGCAGCAGAACGGACTACACTAGGAAAGTGCTGCCCTACTTGGTAAAGCACTGCCGTGAACACAGGCTGCGAGCTGACACTCGCCAATCTGCAGAACTATATTAATCAGTAAAAACTCCTTGCAAATTTATTGGATCCATGTGACTATGCTGAGAGGGCAGAGGGATGCTCAGAGATTTTAATACCTATTTAGTCCAGTGTCCTACACAAACTCTCCTTCTCCCCACTTACCTCCCCTTATGTCTCTCTGTACCTTCCCTTCCATCACTGCTTTTGGCCTGATCACTTATTTAGGCTCCTTTTCCCCTCTGCAAAGACCATCAGGTACTGAGACCTCTCCCTGAGTTAGTATCCATTGCCATGGGCTTCCCCGGACTCGAATTTCTCCTCGGGAGCCACTTCCATTAAGACGGTCTGAAGAAATGAGCTGTTTTGTAATGACTAAGTAAGTGTGGGTAGCCTTAAAAGAAAGTTCATTATCAAGGTACTGCCAACCATGAAGCTGGCATCCTTCCCTGCAAGTTGTACATCCACTCCCTCGGTCAACTCAACAATCTTTTAAAGACTTCTTTGATGCAGGGATTGCTCTTTCCATTACATTCCAGAACCAAGCAGCAGTCACCCATTTCAAGAATGCAACCAGCAAAACACTGTCTCAGTCCATTATCTTCATCAAATTGCAAAAATATTCAGTCCACCAGTATTTTGCTAGCAAGCATAGACTTTGCTGTGCCAGGAAGAAAGGGGAAAAAAAACCTAACTTTGAGGCATGCAGAGTTCAACAAGACCCAACCCTAATCCTATCGGGGTTTCTATGTATGCTTGAGAGTGAGGGGTTAATCTCAAATAACATTACAATATCTAGTTAGAAGCTATTGGCATTTTGAGGGTTTTTTTTAGACTCCCCTAGGTGACAAAGAAGAGTAAAATGTATTCAAATCCAGAAATATTTTTGATGCCTTGTGGAAATAACTTGGAAGGTGGCCATTTCTTTGTCATAATTCATAGTCACTTTCTGAAAACATGAGATCGCTTTCATCTGAGGAAGGAATGATTAAACAAAACAGAGAAGGTTACATCTATCATATCTGCTCCTATTAGACACTGGCCAAGTTTTAAACCACAGTGCAGCACCACAGTGCTCCTCACACAACAGACACAAATGTAAGTGTGTGTGCACCCATGTGTACATAAGTGGGATCATATGATTCTTGGGGACAACACTGGGAAAGCAGGAAGTGGGTCAGTGTGACCTGGATGCCTGACAGTCTACAGCAACCTCCTCCTTCAAACAGGCCCTGCAAAACAGCAGGTTGAAATGTGGAAATGAATGCTTTCAAACAAGAACTGCTGTGTTAAACAGTCTTAGGAAATCTGCGTTGTGGGTATGGGCAAGTATGGCAGAAGGTCCAGGTGCACCGAGGAAAGGGGCACAGAAGCTGCTGCTCCATCCCAGCACATCCCCAGTAAAGACAAGGGCACCTTAGCACAAGCTCTTCCTTCATCACACTGCTTGTTTGCATCCAAGCCCTCATCTCTGCCATGCCACCGGATAAAACCTGCCTTATATACATTAATACCTCTTATAAACATTAATTTGACAATTGCCAGCACAGCAGCTGCTCTATTCTTAATGAAAAACACAAAGATCATCCTGCCCTTCCTCCCCCATTTCCTTTCCCAAGCTTCACAATCCCCTGCACTAATTCACAAAGTCTTTTCCTTCCTCCTCCAAACAATTGCTAGGGATATAATTATCCTTCCATTCATTTTGCAGGAAGTATTCCCCCTTCTATAAGCTTTGCTCTTCACCCACCCCTTATACTTCTTCCTAGGTTACATCCCCATTGGCCTGTCACACCCTTTCCAGTAGCCACTGCCGACTCCGTAAGACAAGGTTAGTTCTCACCTGGTGCTGAAAATTGCTACCTGGGTACCCAGAGCCGCACCTGTAGTAGCAAAAGTGGCAGCCAGGGCACACAAGGGGACTTCCTCTCCAGGACAATGACCTACACTCTGTGCCCCTTAGCTGGTAGCTTCACTTCACCCTTACCCGAAAGCCTCTGGAAAAACTAGGGCTCTTTTCTTCATCAACCTAAGTATTCTAGGCCTGTGTTACCCAGCACCAGCTAAAACAGGAACACAGACAAACCGCTCTGTAATCCAAAACCAAGACACAACAGCTGGATACAGGGAGCAAGGAAGGGACCACTGCTCTGCATGGCCTCACCTTGGCATCTGCTTTCCTAGGGGCTGGCTTTCTGGAGGCACTGTCAGAAAGCAGAGTTGCAAGAGGGGTCTCCAAAGGAGCAATGAAATGACTTTGCCACCATCTGAGCATGGGAAAGAACGTCAAGCAACTCATCTGAAGAATGAAATGGCAAGGCAATGGTGACAGCACCTTGGAGCAGCCAGGGGCTGGCCAGCCATTCAGCATGGCAGCAAGGGTGGAGCAGGCCAGGACAGCCTTGGAGTGATATATTCATTAGAATAAATAAAACTGCTCCCCTCTACCAGGACACACATCTAATCCAAACCATGCTGAATATAAAATAACTTCTACAACCAAACAAGATGGCTCAACTGCTTCCCAACCCTTTTCAATTTTCCTCCTCAGTCATAAAGAAATAGAGATACAAAGACTGCCATTCTTAATCATTTCTGTCTTCCCATGATATTCAGACCCGACAGCAACCAGTGCCTTAGCAGAGACTGCTGTTTACCAACATGCTGCATACAGCTCTTCAGCCAAGCTTTAGTTTATAGGACCAAATTGTCCAAAAAAATTACATTAGAGTACATCCAGTGTTTTGGCAAAATACAAACATGTTTTGTTTGCCACATTTTACCACCTATATTGTTTTTCCGAAAGAATTTGTTTGTACAGGTGAAGGAGTGAGTGAAAACAGACAGATGGACTCAGTCCTTCAGGATGCACAACAGGGACTGAAAAGAAAAGGGATCCTATTGCTGCCAGGGGCTCAAAGCAGCCTGGATTTCCTGCTTGTCATCAGTCTGTTGTAGTCCCTGGACTCCAGCTATACAGCTTACAGCCTTTCATGCTCTAACAGGTGATTGTGTGCATGTGAGTTTGGTCCTCACATGCACTTCCCTGCTGCCCTTGCTGTAGCCCAGCGATCATCCATCTTTTGTCATGCTGGGAAGAAAGTTAAAACTCCATGTTTACCAGCTCTAACCACCCCTTTCTAAAGCTTCCCAGGTACAAGCAGCTCTGCAACACACACACACTCCACACAGGCTTTGTGTGGAGCTAAAATGCTCTGAGATTGGCAGCCACCCAAGCAGTGTGAGTTATCTAGGGACAAGAATGACTGAAATGGTTTCCTGGTTCGCTGGGACCAGCGAAGAGACACCAGATTCCCAAATCAAAGATGGGGAACACTTTAATCATAGAGCAGAAATACGGCTAAGTGATAAAACCTTCTTTCTTGGACATCAGTGCAGGCATGTGAAGGAAGGCATTAGAAACTTCAGGTTAACACATCTCCTTCCTACAGAAATGGCCAGTATTTTCCTTGGTTGTCACATAGTTCATAGCCCAGACTACCAACTGGGCTATTACCACTCCTCTAAGATAGGGAGAGAGAGATCTTGCTCTCTGAGAAACATTATAGTCTATCCACTCATTAAGAAATGGTTGCTCAAGGCAATGAATATGATCTGATCTCCTGGACAAATTACATGTGAATTCACTAGAATCACTTCCAGTTTCATTGTGACCCTGGAAACACTCTGAACTACTTTTTTTTGAAGGCTTAAGGGCAAAAAAATGCAAGAAAAGTTGCTTTCATAGACCACCATCTGCTCTGGATATGGACTGCATACCCACTAAATAGAAATCCTGTCTGCACTGGACACCATCCGTCTTGGAATATTCTTTGAAGAATTTACTGGAGTATGTGGAAAGTTGTGATAGAGATAGTTTCCCACTCCCAGATTTCTACAGCAATATACCTCACAACCCTCACATCTACTTCTGCGTGAAGCTGTCTCAAAGCTTGAAAAAATTCAGACTGAAACACCCAGCTCCCTCCCCATTAAATGAAAGATAATGGTACATTTCCAGCTGGATATCTAGAGAAAAAAAAACCACACCAAAAAAACCCCAAACCCCAAACACACAATCCAGACTATACCAGGCAAGAGAGAAGCGTTAAACATTCACCAAACCAGATGCAAAATCTGTATTATTCAAGTGGGAAGAAGCATTTGGATACCTTTCCCTAGAAAAATGTATGCTAGCATCTGGGCTAACCGCACAAACCCTCAGCTGAGCTTCCACAGCAGAAGGCTGTCACACATCTGGTCATCTAGCTACCTATTCACAGTTTAGATATATATCAAGCACCAGCTCACTGCCTCCTGCAAGAATTTCGGCAAGCCAAGCAGAGCAAAATATCTGGCACAAGAGGCAAGAGTTAATGGCACACATTGCAATTGCATGCAATGACACCCATGCTTGTTCTCCTTGGATCCATAAATTGGATCAGACACAACAAAACCAATCTGGCTTGGTCAACAAGAAGGAGTTTAGATAAAATCAAAAAGCCTTCTACATCTCTAGGTACTTAATATGGGTAACATTTGAGACGCTACAGGTCAGTGGCATAGTTGAATGTATTTAAAGGGTCATTACTACTTTGCCCTTTTCACTGGCTTGAATCTCACCAGGTGCAATCACATCCCCTTGCAGCTGGAACAAAGCCATGCCCTGCCCCACATTGATGATGTACCTTGGTTTTACCCAACTGCCATTCTTTCTTGCTGCTGTCATAGGTCTGAAGAAAGCCTGCACATACAGCCTTGCTGTTATCTGAGAAACTTGGCCCCTTCACAAGCATCTTGTACCTAAGAACCAAACAAAATCTCATGAGATTATGTACGACAGTAACCCGGCCCTCCTGCCCCAATCTTTTAACTCTAATTATCCTCCTCCCATTAGTCCGTCTTCCTCTGCTATCTCCCTTCTTCATATTTGCCTACCAATTTGGAAATTTCCATCCCCCAACCTTCATCTTTTCCTACCACACTGGCAATTATTGTTGCAATCCCAGTAATAAAATACAAACTCAACAGCATTTTTCAGTAAAGAACAACTGCCTTTCTGAAACATGTGCTTTCATCAGACACAAGTTATTTTGTTCGGTATAGGGGTGGCATTTAATGCTCCAACAGACAAAGGAAGCAATGTTCAATGGTCTCTTCTAGCCTTAAACTTCAAGAAATCCTTTTGGTAAAGCTAATTAAAAAAAATAATCACTCTTGCCGGTATTAATCATCAACAATACTGTCCACTAAAATTTGCTTCAGCCTGCCAGATTAAAGGTTTTAAGTATGGTATTTTCTTTTTACATATTATGACCAGCTGGGTTTCACAGCATCACACAAGCAAAGCTGTGGCAAAGCTACAAAAAAAAAAAATTAAAAATGGACCATCTGGCTATTTTTCCATTCTGACTTTTACCCTAAAGGCAAGTCTCCAAAAGGTCTTCCAAATCAGTGTATGATATGGGCAACAAGGGCATGGTTAGAAAAACATCCCACAAATGATCCATATCAGTAACAGCAGTTCTAGAGGGAACAAATAAATAGAATCATATACCTTGGGGCTGTTACAGCATGTGGTACAATGATCGCAATTACCTGCTGAGAAAGTCCTGGTAAAGGCGTCGTATAGGGAAACCTGCTCTCCGAACTTTCACTGTCTCCAGCATCCCTGAATAACGGAGCTGATTTAGCACCACATCTGGATTGAAGAGGTTCGGCGCCTACATAATGATCCAGATTCAAAAACAAGTAAGAAGAGAGACAGAATAAGTGTTGATCTTGGTATTACTTCTTTGCTGAGTTGAACAGTGACTGTTTCTCTGAGCACAGACAGTCACAGGTTGTATATCCGTTTCTCTCTACAAAATCAGCCCTGCATATTTGGGTGTACCAGGTGAAAAGGGGGAAGTTTGGGTCAAGGAGAAAGCAACCTCACAACACTCCACGGTGCAGAAAAAGGGATGAAAGGGAGTTGGGCAGATCCTGGGAAAACACAGTCTGCAGACTGCTGTCGTAGTCGGATCATTGCAATGATACAATGCATTAACACATACAAAACGCAGAACTCTGACTCAGTTCTTTTTGCAGTCTCTCTCCAGTCAAACCGGAGACAAACTGCAGAATTCTTTTCTGGCATAAAACCCCCAGCTGGCTTTCCTCTGCCATATCATAAACGGTTTCAAAACACACCAAGAAAATGATGGGTTCAGAGCTCCCCACCCAATCTAGTTAGCAGCATATCCTCCCGTCACAGTTCACAATAGAAGCAAGAGCCAGCCTGTCTCTAAGCACTGTGACTTGCTCATGAAGCATCCACCTCCTCTGCCTCAGAGCCAGGGAGCTGCAGGAGATGCTTCCTACCGCACAAGCCCTGCATTCCAGAACAAATTGTCTACAGGCACCACAAACGGGAGCGATTGCATCTTCTACCACAGCTCTGGGCTCTGCACAAGCCTGCTTCATCTTCCAGGCTTCGTAAGCACATAAAGAGGTGGGAATGGCTATATCGTATCATACCATACCATACTCAGCATGCAGTCTTTTCATCTGATACCAGGAGGAGGGTGTATTTTTCCTCAACTATAAAACAACTAGAAGGAAAAAAGGAAAGTGAGGGGGAACTGCTCTCATCCTCAGTTTGGACCCTGACAGAGGCACCTGTCAGGTGTTTGGGCAAGTGAGTGCTCATGAAGGCCTGTGTTGCATGCATACATTTTGCTGGAAGACAGACTTGCCTTTTCTGTATTTGGCTTGATGCAGCGGATGAAGAATGGGTTGGAAGTACTAAGCGTGGCCATCAGGGAATGGAGAGAATCCTAAAAAGCAGCAAGACAAAACCCAAAGGATCAGTCACTCTGGGAGGGAAAGGGCCTACATTTGATGCAACAGGGTCTTCATGCAGCCTTCCCATTCCTAATGTCCTTTGACTCTGCCTACCAAAACCTCAGCAACCCAGGAGACCCCTTCCTGTCCAAAACACATCCACACAGTTAGTTTACTCTAATCCTGTTTACGTGACCATCATTGTTCTCAGAGCTGTAAAGCTGATCTGAGTTATTTCTACAAGTCTCTCAAAATTTAAATATAGGAAACTAAAACTGTGAAACTAACAGAAGGTTTGCAGACGGTCCAGGGGGGTGAGATTCATACCTGCAATGTCCCCCTAATAAAGTTCTACTGGAGTTGCCACTATACCTGTAAAAGATGTGGCCTAAAAGGACGTGTACACTTAGCTGAAACACCAAACCAACATGAAAGGTCAAAGAACCTCAAGAACTTCATATACTTAGCAAAGTATTCTTTTCCTCTGCCACCCTGCTCAGTCTTAGCATCTCACATTTTACACCACACAGAAATCCTCGGGGCAGTGGCACTGTCTTTTTTTAGCACCACAACATTCCTGCACATTTTCAGTGCTGGACAGAAAACAAGGATGAATGACTCCTCTTGGCTGCAGGCCTTGCTTTACCCATCTGCTCCTCCCCAGAAGCCTGCTGCTCTCTTGGAAAACATCCTACCCTGAACTGGGAACTGACAGTCGGTCTGCGCCTCTGGGTGCCCATCTTCAGTGTCTCTTCACTGCTACGACTGCAGACTCTTTCAAAAAGGTCATAGATGAAGTCCAGTCTAAGGGAGAAGAAAAGAATTAAAGAAAATGCAAGACACCCACCACCTGTTAGAAGATGGCTCTTATTCTCAGCTACCGTCCTGTCGCAGTGTGAAACACCTCATTTTTATTTCTGCTGTGCCACAGAGTGGCTGCAGGAAGCAGTTCAGCTGGGCACTTCCACGAGGAAATTAATACTTTCCGTGTGGCTGCCCAGACCCTGTGGGCTGCCCTGTATGCAACACTCGGCTGCAAAGCCAGAAACCCCATGTCACGCTGTTAAGCTGGATATTACACAAAGGAAGATCTCCATTCTGCACTGGCTAGGACACCTCCCCATGAGCTTTATGCCCCCGGGCAAAACTACTTTGAAGGTACTCCAGCTAGACTGTGTGCTGTCACACCCCTCTAGACCTAGCTCTCATGGTGAGCATCCATGACATGCTCATGCAAGTGCAACTACAGCCCTTCTGTGGCCAGAGGACTTCTAGAGCTACCCTCAGTGCAGGTCAGCTCTGGGGAATCTTCCACCATTTTGCCACTCCTTAGACAGCGGTGCTGGTTCTTACGAAGAGGCACAGAGTTCTTCAGCACTTCTTGTGCCTGTTTATTGCTGTGACTGCTTCTAGCAGAATTTCCCTTTCTGGCTTGTTGAAAAACCCTGAGTCCTTCTATTATGCTGGACAACGATCACCGCAATTCTGGCTTCAAGCCCTATGTAAAATGTTCCCCAGATGCCACTGTTCGAGCAGCTCATATTCAGCTCTCAGCTTGTTTCAAGGCTGCTCACAGTGCAAACTCTGCAGCAGGCTTCAGAGAAGATGCAATTCTGAAACAGTCTCGGCAGGCTGGAGCCCAAAGGACTCCATGGACTACGGTAAGAGGCATGTGGTAGAGTTGCTACTCAAAAACTTCTAGGGTCCACCATGTTTTTAAATGCTTCTCTCCTACTATGCCCCACCTCTGTCTTCCAGACCTTACTCAAGGTCAAATTCAGCTAATTTCTCTAGGGTCATGTTGCAGCACTGGGATATAATATTAGGGGCCATGCCTAGTCCCACAGTGAGGGCTCAGTTTGGCTCAGGATAAGGACAGAGTCTCTCCACTAACAAGCAGGCTGGAAAACAAGCAGCCTCTGTACAAAGGCTGGCATTTGACAGCATGGCAAAGAGCCCTGACTCATTCAGGGGCAAATTTGCCACTATTGGGACAGGGAGGTAAGAAGAAGAGGAAAGGGAGAAGAGAGGAGGGAGAAAACCAGCATTGCCTGGAGGGATTTCTGCCATGCTTTTATAGCTCTTTTCAAAACTGAGACAAGAGTACTGATTAAATCTATGCCTTGTCTGACTTCTTCAGCTCTCCTTTCTTTTGCCGGGACACTTAAGCACAAAGAGAAGAATGATAAAGAATGATGCTCAGAAAAAAGCAATTGCTTTCTTTGGTCTGGTTATTAAATGAATGGGGCTTAGTCCAGCACAACAGATGTGGCTCCTCACAAGCATAAGGGGGGCATACCTGCTGTCTTTCAGCATGTTTAAAATGTCATCTCGAAAGGTGTCTCTGTTCTTCTCCAGAAAGCCTCTCACATCGTATAGTACCTGCAACACAGACAGAGCTACTAGAACAGTGCAGTACAAATCATTAAGCATTTCTACATTAACATGACAATGTACAAGACATGCAGCAGAGCTACATAGTAATGCTGCAGGCATGTGCCAAGATCCAAACTTTTGGGGTCAAAGAGCTCCAGAGCTCTGCAGTTACTGGCAAGAAAGTGGCTTTTAGCCATCAATTAAGAAAAAAAAACAACAAACAAACAACAAACAAACAAAGAAAACCAACCAAACAGCAAAAAAAACCCACCAAACCCCAACAACCTCAAAAACAGGAGCCAAGTGAAAAAGCTGCAGAGATTTGCCTGGGGGTGTGTGGGGGGGTGAAATCCTCTCTCTGCAAGGTGTGAGGTACTCCATTCACTTCAGGCAATACTAACTATGCCACCCAGTGCCCTGACCTCCCAACCACTAGTGCTCAGTGGGTATGATTCTAGGAGATAAGTCATTTAGTGTGCAGGTGCCCCCCCAACACACCTCCATCTGCTCTGTATCTCTCCACAACAGAGAGCAGCATTAAACCTTGAAGGCTTGGAAACCTTTTCCTTTTTGCAACAGGTATTTAGCCTTTTCTCCTCCTCCTCAAAAGTCAAATTTTCCTTGTGACTTTTATTTTGGGTTTTGTTTCTTTGTGAATGTCCAAGCAAAGACAACATGAATAACAGAAGGAAGGAGGAGTTTATCCCCCAACCCAAAAGTTGCCTAAGAAACTCAAACAAACGTCCAAGCTGGAGAATGACATGCTATTTGAAGCCCATCACACTCCCTGCACTCTGGTATGGGGCACTAACTGCGGAAACACACAGCTCAGAGATATTCTTGATTTTTGGAATCTAAAATCCAGGAGCTCAAGTCCAAGTGCAAGCACCTCACAGACACACTACCAACACCTACCTCTCCAGCATAATGTCTTATGCCAAACTGATGGTCTGTTACCCGAGGCTTCACATAGTACTGGTTGCTCTGAAATGAAAGAAAAATAAGTCTTATTATAATGCCAATGTAAAAATAAATAGGCTCAGTCAGAAACTCCGCCATGACTATGACAATGCTGGGATGGGCAAGTGCTTTAGCTGTTGCAGAGCCTGACCACATCTGCTGCACTTATCTGCAGCTACATTACAAATATGTTATTCCAATAAGATGGTGGTGTGGTTTGGCCTCAGCCAGCAACAAAGAACCACACAGTTGCTCACGCAACTCCCACAGTCGTGGAAAAAGGAATCGTCAGGGCAAAACTCGTGGGTTACAAGAAGGCAATTCAGCAGAACAGCAAAAGGAAAAGATGAAAACGCGATTACAGTACCGCCGCGATGTACACCGACTCGGCGAACGCCACCACCGCCCACCCCCAAGTGGCGACTGCTCTCCTCGCCCCGGCTAGCACCTCTTATAGCCCGGGCATGGGTCACGTGGTATGGAATACTTGCCCCCTGCCGGCTCCTGGGGAGATTAACCCCATCCCTGCCAAAACCAGGACAGATGGAAAAATCCATCCCTTCAAGGCATTCCTTGTGTGAGCAAGGGCTTGCAGAATAAAGGTTGGGCAGGCATGCCATGGATGAAATGTTAATTCTTGCGTGTCTGACTCTTGAGGAGACTGGGCTCCACACAAACCATGTGGTACAGGACATGGGATCAGGATGCAGGGAAGACGGCAGCTTTGCAGATGGCTACACATCTTTTCTTTGTCAAAGGAAATATCAAACCAATCTCCTGTCTTCCTCTATATTTCGTCTTTCTTTGGACCTCTCTTCCCCTTTTTCAATATTCATTTTTCCTTTCTCTTACTAGCTGTTCTACTCTCTTATTTTTCCCCGCCTTTCTTTGTTCTATGAAAATGGTTCACTGTGTAAGAACTGCAGTGCCACTTGAGACCAGCGGTCCATCCGGCTGACTATTCTGCCTCCAGCCGTAGCTATGTAGGGTAGAACAAGAACAAGGCAAGTTAATGAAACTTTTACCCTAATACTCTCTCAAACTCCAATTATTTTCATGAGGTTTGCATAACTAGTAACCCCAAGTGGATTTCTCTTTGAAATACCTGCCCTTTCCAAACCTGAACCCATGCAGACTTCCTGCATCCAGAGTGTCCTTTCACAGGGAGCTCTCAATCAACCATACATGGAACTACAGCTAGTAGGTTTTAAGCCTGGCTCCCATTAGTGCCATTTGTCTTCAATGGGCCATGTGTGACTTTGAAACCCATTACAACCCCCGCACTGCAGGGTCCCTTCAACATAGTTTTCCATAACACTAAAGCTGTCCCAGACCTGTTGTTTACCGGATCTGATATAACCCCTTCTTGAGTGGAGGGGCCCAGTGATGCACACTGTTCAAAGTGCCAGTGATCCATGGATTATACAGTGCCATAACAATGTTTCCTGCTTTTATTCTGTTTCTTTCCTAGGAATTTCTGACGCTTGATCTGGGTTTTTTATTACTACTGAGCACTGTGCTGATGTTTCCGTGGAACTATCCATCACAGTGTCCGTCTAGGTCTTGCTCCTGAAGAGCAGCAATCAGTTCAGGGCCCATCATTTCAAATGTGAAACTGGGACTGTTTTCCTTCAGGCACACCATGTTACATTTATCTACCCTTTTTTTCATCTTCATTTTACAACCCAATCAGTCTCATAAGGCCCCTCACAGTCCAGCCTTGCCCTGTGAATCATCAGAAAACTGACACCTCAGTGCTTGCATGGGATAGAGTCTTGCGGGACTCCCTTCATTGAGGTAACTCACCATTTACATTCTATGAATTTACCTAATAGTGAAATAAGGATACCAATGCTATAATTTCCCAGAATACTTCTAAAAATTAAAATAATTTCCCACCTTCTCAGATACAAGTACTAAGAAAATTTAAAGTAAGATGTTGCACAATACTGTTAGCAATTCAGCTCTTTCATCTTTGAGTTCTCTTAGTAGTATTGGGTGGATGACTTCTGACCCTGATAATTTGTTAGTGCTATTGAAAACTTCTTCATTGCCTTTTTTTCCCTTTTCATATTGACCCCATTTCTTTGCTCTTCCCTTTCCCCTTCCAGCCACAAATTTCCCTCTCTTCCACTCCAAACATGACTGTTACTGACTCTCTCACGTGGCTTGGCCTCTCCCTCTCTACCAAGCCGTTATACTTCATCCATGCTTACAACACTTCTGGTTCCTTCTTCTATCTGCCCTATTGCTCCTCTCCCCGGTCGTATCAGAGGTCATATCCTCTTAAATCCCAGCTCTATGGTTTTCCTCCTTAAGCCTATTGCAGTCCACAGAAAACACAGAGAAGAGGGCTTGTTCTCTTATAACGTCTTCAGGCTTTCCAGCAATGCCTTCCAGTGCTCTTCCAGCCAGCACTAGAGACTTCAACCAGTACAAAAAAACCCCACTTTTGCCTTCAAAAAATGCAAACCCTAGAACACAGTCTACTTCATCATTTCTTCCTGCACTCCATCTCCTCTGCCTCTTCCATCTCTCGTAGGCTCCCTAGGGTTCCCAGTTAACCGCTATCCTCTCAAAGCAGACAGAAGTAACACTATGAACAGCTTAATTAAAAGGCTACCCAATGCACAGAAATCACCAGAAATAGCAACAAAAATGTTGCAATGTTGAATGCAAAATAGTACTGACAGTCTCATGCTGCTGTACAATAAACCACAGGTTAAAAATATTCCTAACTTCTATATTAAAAGTTAACAAAATACCAACAATAATAAAAAAGGTAAATCAGGCATTCTCATATACCTTGACCCACAATACAAGGGACAGCCACAGCAGACGAAATTGAAATCATCAATTTAAGCCTAAAGAAAGGAAATATGTCCACAAAGTTGTATAAATAGGCAACCAGAAGTCATTGCTATTGTATCCAGTTGGTAGTCATGAGTATCACTAGCAGAGTTAGATGCAAATATGAAAAATGAGAATATCTGCATCTATGCCAATTTAAAAAAACAAACCGTCAGATAAAGGATACAAATTTGTATTTGTCATGGTTTCAGCTGGGATGGAGTTAACTTTCTTGCTAGCAGCTGGTATAGTGCTATGTTTTCGATTTGGGATGGGAGACAGTGATGATAGTGCACTGATGTTTTTGGTTATTGCTAAGCAGTCAAGGCCTTTTCTGCTCCTCACACTGCCCTGCCAGTGAGCAGGCTGGGGGTGCACAAGAATTTGGGAAGAGACACTGCCAGGACGGCTGACCCCAACTGACCAAAAGGCTATTCCATACCATGTGATGTCACGATCAGCATATAAAGCTGTAGGAAGAAGAAGGAAGGGGGGGTGTGGGTGGGTGTGTGCGTTCAGAGTTATGGCATTTTTATTGCCAAGTAACAGTTACATGTGATGGAGCCCTGCTTTCCAGGGGATGGCTGAACATCTGCCTGCCGATGGGAAGCAGTGAATGAATTCCTTGTTTTGCTTTGCTTGCACGTGCAGCTTTTGCTGTACCTATTAAACTGTCTTTATCTCAACCCACGAGTTTTTCCTCACTTTTACTCTTCTGATTCTCTCCCCCATCCCAACCTGGGGGGCAGCTGTGTGGTTCTAGTTGCTGGCTGGGGTTAAAACATCACAATATGTTTTCAGACTTGGATGAAGTCTGAATTGGAGGACTAGGAAACATATTAGCTGACAATGTTTTTACTAAGTAGTAAATCATTCCATAATTCCCTGCTACAGGGTTTAATTTGCTTTGTTTTCAGTCTATTTACTAGTAAGAAGAACAGAGTGTTGGCTGTACCACAGACGGGGTAAGTGATTGCTATGGTGATCTCACTGTGGTTTCTGTGTCCCCAGGATAACTTTTTGACCTGCATGAAAAAGCCCTTCTACTCCTGTGTCCAGAATACAAAAAAGAGGAGGAAAGAGTTTAATTAATTAGGAACAATGAGAGCACTTTCATTAAAAGTCATGAGGCAAAAGCCATCCCCAGCCCCAGGAGACAGAGATTTGACATGCTCTGGAGCAGACTCCTGTGAGTCAGCTGGTAGGAGAAACCCATGCACACTGTGCAGCCACATCCTGTGCCTGGGGTGGTGCCTTGTGTTCCGTCACGGACCAGTAGAACCTGACCTGAACCCATGCTACAAATTCAAATCTCCTCTACCCTGTGGAGCGCACACTCCCTCTCTCTATGTGTGCAAGAGACCATTTGCAGGCTTCTTCACGTACTACTTTTGTTTAGTGCAGCCTTATTAAAACACTCGCAGGTTCGAGCCTAAGGCATTTTAAATTTCCTGCACAAAGCACATATTTTACATCAACAAAACCTTCACTTTCAGTTTTGAAATGCTGATGGGGCTAACACACTGATCATTTGCCTGCCAGCTTATTTTCTTACTTACCATATGCTGGCTGTGAAGTTTTTCCAGAAGGGTGTTGTCTGTGCCTTTGGGGAATCGACTCTCTTCATTCACCAAAGCCAGTAGACCCAGTTTCTACAGCCAGACAAGAGACAGGCTTTTACAGTCAGCAGAAGCTCTAACTACACAGCAGCAAGCCAAGAACTGGAGATCTGGACAGCACATTGAGCGATAACCCCTGAGTTATACCCAGCAAAGCTTGAGCTGAAAGCAGAATTCTGTCCAGTCCATGCATTCAGCAAGCAGATGGTAAGTGGAGATGATTTATGAAAAATTCACTTAGATGTTGCTCCCTGTCTAAAACTATGACACCCTCCCTAAGCTTACACTCAACAATGACCAGAGATCTGCTTTCCTGAGCCTGGATATGGCTGGAATAGCTCATACTTTTGCCGGGTCATGATGGGAGGAGGATCTAAGCAACTACCTGGTTTTAAAACCAGAAGACCCTAGGGAAGGTCTCAAGACAATCAGCAATCCCAATTACGATCCCTGGAAAGTGTCCCAGATAACTGCTCACCTTCTCAATAAGGTCCAGGCACTCTGCATTATCCATCCAGTCAATGGCTTCCCAGTTTATCCCTTCCCTGACAGTCAAGAACAAACAGAACAAAGCTGTGAAATGCAGGATCCAATACCCTGAGGTGCAGAAGAATAGAAGTAGCTGAGCATGGCAGCTGTCTCAGGACTCAAAACAATGTGCAGGAATTCGGTTTTGCTGTGGCTGAGGAAAAAGAACAGGACACACAATGCACTGCTAACACACGGAGCTGGAAGTAGGAGACAGCCTCTCTTATCCATCCCAGTGATTTAGACTGATGCTCATCTTGTAGTCATTGAGCAAATTCCAGACCAAACACTAAGAAATTGTAGTTGCTCTCTGTTGCTCTTTCAGGAGTGATGAGCATCAGCCTAAGTGGTGGTGATGACGGACAGTGTGCTACACAGCTTCAAGAGTCACCTGCTGACTCACCAATAGGGAAAGCAGGCCTGAAGCACACCTGCCAGAAGACTGAACCACAATTCATAGGTCCACCAGAAGAAGAGACAGGAACACTTTTCAGGGAGAGTTTTGAAGAGGATGACACAGATAATCTTTGGCCTGACATGCAGGGAACCTACAGGGTGGCCTTGCATCTTTCAGAATGGGAACTGATGTAAGTACAGCAGTGCAATAAGTGTGCTTTGAAAATCATCCATGACATGCTGTAAATCTATGCTGAATGTGTTTCTCCCCCCGCTCTCCGTATCACCTTCTTATACTCCTATAATACAGGCTGGTTCTGTTTCCAGAATTCAGAGAAGCCTGGGAATAACTCTTGCTCAGGAATCCAAGGAAGACTACAGGCCATGTGTGAAGCTACTTACTGAGATTCTGATACAGACACCTTTCAGGTGAAGGTTAACATTTTGAAGATAATGAAGCTCTTGTCTACAAACCCTTCAGCCTAGGCTTCATACTGTCAGGTTCAAAATATTCAGAGACCTGTGGGCAACAGTTGGAGGCAACAAACTGGAATAATTTCTGAAGAACGGAAAGAACTATATGTCCCTCACAGGAAACAGAATATCTTATCCACTTAATGACAAAAAATATCAGTTCATGGTGTTTCAGATTTTTGCAACAATGGGTGTCAGAGAGGCCATATATTTTTTACAAAAAGACCTCTTGGATTCCTTCTAAGAGCAAGAAGTCGTTCTAGAATTGAAGGGAGCAGAGTTTTCTGAAACAAATCGAATCACAAATGAATCAAGTTGTGTCTAGTGCCACAGAACTCTTGTCTAATTGAATGATGAAATACACGGAGCTACTTACTAAACCTGAGGAAGCGGAGCTGATACTGTGAAAGATAAGTTTTAATCACATCACCCTAGAATAACTCGATGAGTAGTCAATAATAAAATTCTCTTGTTCTTTCCAAAGTTCAGCCACAAAACTTAAACTCCTATGTAATCATCAGGAAAAAATCTTTTGTCACGATGATACCATTCTTAACACAAGTTTCCTGCAATGATGGAATTGGCCTGAGAAGTGAGTGCATAAATAGCCTTGCAGTTCTGTAATCTTTAGAATTTCATGAATTGCCTATTCAACTGTCTCCCTTTGCAAGGCTGCTCTCATTTGCCCTCACTGACCCTATTCAATTGCTTAATTCACAAACATAAAGACTTCTGTTTCAGAGAGAGAACTGAAGTATTTGTCTAGCAGCCTTCTCTAGAAGCAGAAATACTCTAGAACATCCCAGGTTCTTCACAAAGTACAATCCAATATGAAGCCCACAGAAAAGAAACAGCTGTGCAGAACACCCCACGCTCTTTAAGCTCAGGAAACAGCCTGATTTAAATCTCCTTGATGAGGAGGGGAACCCTTTTCACAGCATAGGAATCTCTAGAACAGAAAGGGCATAGATAGGGAGATAGATGGATCTTTAGGGACTTTACTTTTTGCACACCAAGACTCCACCTGCATAACACCACCACTACCTTAAGTAAATCATTACTGAAGTCAGTAACAAGGCCAGTGACCATGTGTTCTAATGGGTTAATGCCCAAGATGTTCCCATTCAGCTGAGAGACAGAATGGAATCTGGACTTTCTAAATTTTACAGGAGAGAAATCTTTTGCTTGAAGACAAGTGACCTATGCTGGCAAAGCACATGGACAGTGCTTACAGAGACACATCCACTGGCAGGGTTGCAGTAAGGCCCAGCTGCCTCTCCGGCCTTAGCAGTAGGGACTGGAGAGCACAAAAGAGGAACGATGTCCCCCATTCTACCACCCACGAAAGCAAGAGGGGGCCACTCCCTCCGTTTGTCACCTGTTGTACTCCAGCTGCTCCAAAGAGAAGATGTGTTTGTTGAAATATTCCTGGAGCTTCTCATTTGCATAGTTAATGTTAAACTGCTCAAAACGATTCACCTGTGAGAAGAAACAAAGATTATAAAACTTAACATTCTTTTCCCTGGGCTCTAAAAGAATGTGTAACAGTGATGGGGAAGGTGCCAGGCTGGAATAAAGCCAGAGTATAGAGGCAAGGAGTGTCAGGTGGACATGGGGTGGACAGTACGGGGAGGTCCACAAGGATAACAGCTTTTGTAGCTCATGCAAGGTTAATTCAGTCAGCCTAAATGGTAGTAAAGAATGCTAAGGACAATCACATGTCTCTTCTTCTTAGGAAGAAAGAAATATAATTCCCTAAGTGTTAGGTCACTGGGCTTTCTCTTCTGTGAAATATCTGAGCAGTCACTATATGGCTGCTGAACATACATCCCTCATCAGTTGCAATCAGAAGCATTACACACAGGATTCTCAACACAAGGCAAAACAGATGTAAACAAACAATGTGCACATAGGAGTTGGATATTTAATTTGTATACAAGTCACAAATTCAGTATTATCTATCACAGCACATCTGTTTAGGGTCTGTGTCAAAAACCAGACCTTGAACATCAGCCTACATGAATACAGGTGGCAGAAATGGACAGCTAAATAAATCTTGATGCTGTCAGAGAGAAGTGACAGTGGAGAAATCCCAGAATGCCCTATGCTAACCTAAACAGGACACAAAACTACCAAAATCCCTTCCTATATGTGCTTAAATCTCCAAAACCAACCCACCCTGCAAAAGACAAAATCCTGACCTGAAAGTTCTCGAAGCCAAAGATATCCAGGATGCCCACAGACTTGAAGTTTTCCTTGCCTTTGATCTTCATATTAATCTTGCTAATGAGCCATGAAAAACACTGCGAATACAGCGCCATAGAGAGGGAGTCCCTGGAGTCAGCTGCCTGTAAATGCAAAGAGAAAAAATAAGTCACAGGGAGAAGAGAAGGCATAGGGGGGCACCAAAAATCAATATGGGACTTCAGGTTCCTCCACTGCCCTTTAGATGTCTCAGCCTCTGTACTGCTTGTGCATGGTGCAGTATTTGTATGTACAGTCAACATTCAAGTTTGCAAATAGCCCATGCACACACAGATGTACTATGTCTGACCTTTGGGTAACTGAACTCGAGAGGATGAAGGAAGCAGCAAAATCCTTGACATCTTTTGGAACAAGTGCTGGGGCAGGGAAGGTCGCAAAATACCTTATGACTAAGCCCGTACAGGTAATTTGCATCACCTGAGCCAACATTTGCAGTGACAGGCAAGATACCTCTGTTCAGTACTTCTAGTAGAGCTGTCAAATGGGTGTCCACTCAGTTTTTCAAAAACTGGTAGGGCAGGATTTAATAGAGTATTGTGTCACCAAGTTAGCCTCAAAAATCCCCTCTCCAAAACTTTCCTGCAAACAGCATTATCTTACTGGAAGAGAGGGTAGGCTGTCCAACAGCCAGGACACGTGCCCCAGAAAAGCATGGATTGAGAGGCCTTTCTGGAGCTGACCCAACATCCCATGCAGCGATCATAACCAAGGGTCAGAGGTGGAAAAAAATAACTTAAATTGTGATCGCTAACAGGCAGTAGATAATAGGGTGTTATGTAAGCGTGTGGATGAATGTCCAAAATTGAAGTTTTGAAATCTCAAGCAAAAGCCTGCTACTTGATAGCTGTCTATCAAGTTAGTAAGTTGTAAGTTTTGATAAGACTTGGACTAAACAAAACTGGCATGCCCCAAATCCTCCAATTAATAAAAAGACATGAGACAGAATCACAAATTAAGAGGTTGATCACATGCTGTCCTGCACATACGCTATTTAGACTGGGAAACCAGGGCTTAGGGTTCTGGAAAGAAGAGGAGGCCAAAAAGAAGACGTGATCCCAGATAGTAGAAAAAAGGGCCAGGAAAGAAGGTGGCAAAGATCTTGACTGGAAGACAGAAGCTGGAAGTGGGGAAAGATCCTGGAGATCAGGGACATGTGGAGACAAATGTCAGGGTACACCTGAGGACCTTGGCTGGTAGTTCCTGAGACTCGTAACTACAAGGAGCTACACAACATCAACCAACACAACTTTCTGCCCAACCCTCCTGAACAAGCAGCAATCTCCCTACTGGGAAAAGAAGCTGACATCTAGTGAACATAATGCTGAGGGGTGAGTGAGCAAGTATGTGCAATAATCAAGTAGGGTAAAAGCTATAATCTTATCATTTCATAAATAAACGGCAGTATCTAGATCAATTACAGGTTGTTTACTGTGTCTTGCCTATGACACCAGGGTAATTCCTTCAGCAGGCCTGACCAGCAATGACAGACATCTAAATGCACCCTCATCCTCTTTAGTTTTACAAGCCTGAATAACATGACCTCTCCTGTTCTGCTTTGCTTCTGGCACAAACCAACTGCCTCTGAATCCTCCCAGCCCCTCTCAGCCTGCAAGATTCTACTTTTCACCTAATCTGTTTTTCTCCTCCTTTCTCTTCCTGGTTAGTATCTCCCCTCCAGCAACCCAAGGCCTAGGACACACAGCAACCTCCCTTCTCCACAGAAGAGAATGTTTCAAATCGTGGGCATATACACCTTTTCTGGAGATTTCCTCTCTCCATCAGATGGTCTGTCTTATTAGTTGGGACTGAGAATGCCCTCAAGGCCTCTGCAGTGTCTCTGGCTACACAGCAAGTTGGACGCATTTTCTTGGAACAGAACCTCCCCATCCAGCTGTAAGCAAAGCCGCCTTCCCCACAATATGGCTCAAATGAGATTCTCAAAGGCTCCTTTCATCCTCCCAGCTTTGCCCGCCTTCAGGCCAGTTCACCCATTCAGCCCACTGAAATGTCAAAGCTCAGATGAGCAACGAGACAGTTACACAATGAGAAATCCCTGGCAGCTCTGTTAATGTGTTCCTGCAACAACAAGTGGGAATAGGTGGGCACAGTACACGAGGGCTTAAGCGGGAACAGTCTCTTCAGGCCCAGTGTTCAGTGGAACAGGCTCACCTAGTGAAAACGGCTAAGGAGCAGCATCCGCTAGAACAATCTTGCGGCCTTAGTACTTCACCGGGCTGCAAGCAATAAGTATGGGGTCCAACACGCACAAATGTCAGGAATAACTATACTATCAGGGAAAGCTCTGTTCAGGGAGACTCTAAATCCTACAACTGTTGCTCTGGACCGCATGGAGTGTCTCTGGCATTACTTGTTATCCATCCTCGTGCACTGATCTAGAAAGGTGTGGCTTGTTTTGGACAGACAGCGGAGAAGAGAAACTGTGGTACTGCATACTGAGGATATCTACCACGGACTATAGGCTGAAAAATAATTTTCACACAATTTCATTGCAAAGAAAGGTCACAGATTATGAGAAAAAAAGATACCATTTCTCAAAGGCAAGGCTTAGTTTATGATACATTAGCAGGTGTGTCCACAGCAAGAAAAGAAGGAACTACTCTGCTGCAATGTGCACTGCTGAGACTTCAGCTTGAATATGGTGCCCAGTTATAGGCACTCCACTTCTTAAAAGATGAGGGAAAACAGAGACAGAAGAAGAAGAGATTTAGAAAATTACTTACAAGGAAACATTGAAGGAACTGGAATGTTTAGCTTAGAAAAGAGAATACCACGTGAAAAACTTCACAGAAGCGGAAGCTTATAAGGTGGACAGCTGGGATGTCAAAGGTAATCTAAATATGAGGAAAATCTTTTCAGGTCCAGATTCCACTGCAGCTAGAGCAGGACACTTAAAGAGGCTGTGAAATTCCTTCCATGGGAAATCTGAAGGAAAGTTAGACAGACATCCGTCACAGAATACCTAGTAACTCTGGTTTCTCTGGCAATGTAGAGGTTGGATTGATAACCCTTTGCAGTCCCTGCCAGACAAGATTTCCATTACAAATGTTTGTCTTGCTACAACGCTATGCTTCTTCCATCCTAGTAGTATTGTTCCTTGTTTCCAAGTGTCTTGTATTTTATTAATGACAGAAGATTTTCTACAGTTATCTGTGCATGGACCTAAAACACCAAGAGTGCCCTCAAGTGATCAGCAACACCACAAGTTAAAGTTAGTAGGCACAACGCTGTAAAGAACCACAGAGATCTGTAACAGATAAGCAGGACTGGCTCCAGCACACAGTACAGGTTCAGAAGATGAGAACTGCGTATCAGTTTATTTGGTCCTCCTTTGTGGTTGTATGGATACACAAAGAAGCCACTGCAGGGTAACAACCTACCATCTACCGGATGTTTTGTTGTAACTGCGTGCAAGCTTTCATCTGCATAAAGGCATAGCAGTGCAACCTGGGAGTTCTGCAAGGTAAAAGCATGCACACATGCAATTACCACAAAGCATCTGATGCACCTTCCGCATGACACCAGCGTGACCAATTCCTGGTGAGTGAATGTGACTTAAAACCAGTACTGTGCATTCCCATTTGCAAGTGAACTCCCCTGTAAAGCCTAAAAAGCAGAGTCAACATTGGGACCTGAACTACCAATAAGGGCAAAATACTTAGGGACACAGCCGAGCACCTAGGGGGTGTAACAGGAAACCCTAAACTTGAAGGGATGATACAAGTGGAAGAGAGAGGGCCTGGAAATTCAGAAGTGGCAGAACCAGGAGCATACACTAGGACACTTACCTGTTCCACAGTGAGAGGGGAGCTGATCTCTTCTCCACGCAGAATCATGGACCTCTGCGTCAATACTTCAGAAAGCTGGAAGGCATCTAAGCCCAGGAGGTCACTGGCAATGTTCAGCACTAATAACAAAGGAGGACAAAGTTTTTTTTCTCCTACGTGGATCCCCATCACTCATGAGGGACCCATATTCTGCAACTCAGTGAGGAAATCCCAGGGACTCCTACAAGACAAGTGACTAAGCCCCAACACAAAACACGCTCCCCTTTACTTAATTCTTGTTGGCATACCCAAAGCTGTAAGCTCACATACCCAGTCGGAGGTAGGGTCAGCACCTGTTATGGGCCACAGTCAGACGCTCATATAAGTCAGCCTTTCTGCTGACAACAGGAAAAGCAAAGCACGGTGTAAAGCTCAGCACCAGCAAAATATTTATTGAATGAGAATATATGTTTTCCTAAAGGCACTATAGTGCAGACTGAGCATGGGATTGGTAAATGTGGATGTCAAGAAAAGAAGCAATTAAATTAAGACTTGAAGCACTTGTAATATATTTATTGCTTCTGTCTGTTTAGGGATTCACTTTACCAGACCAGCTCAGATTGGATAACTGTAACAGACTGCACACTAGCAGATGCTTCGAAGGAAAATGTGGGCAAGTCTGTAACAAACTACTTTTATCTCAGACTCCTCCCTGTTCCTATTTCCTACTGCTCTTTCAACACAGATGAGAAACTGTGAGACTGTGGACTCAGTCTGAGAGTATCCAGGAGAACAAAACGGATCACGGGTCCACAGCCTGACTAAACCATACCAGTGCTCCGGAGCCATGCATCCTCTGGCAGTACTTTTACTGGGTCAAACTGCAGGGAACCTGCTGGCAAAGGCACTACAGACCAGCACAGCAGAGGGAAAAAGGACGATGGAGTGAGCATTATTGGGGCCTTATGAGGCCTTGCATGGTCTACCAAGTTGCTAGGGTCCCACTTACCCGCTTTCGTTGTAACCTGGGCCCCACCAGCTGTCATGAATTCAACGTTTCCCAGATGAAGCGTGCCGGAAAGAAGTTTGAAGATGTCTCTGATTTCTTCAGTGCTGAAGTCCACCACCTTCATGGCAGTCTATGCAAAACCATACAGCTAATGTTGGCTGTACATACAGCCACAGTAAAACGCAACCACCACGCTCATGCCCAGCCCATGTAAGATGTAAAACTCAGAATTATAGTCATCATGAATCAAAGTGAAATGGGATGGCATAGCCCTTCTCTCAGCTATACATCTGTCAATGATCTTGACTGTCTCCCATTCTCTTCTTCCTTTACCCTATATCCCCATCTAAGGTAGGTGGGCATTTGCCCTATCCTCAAGTTGGACTTTGCTGCTGCCATTGCCTGTCTGTCACAGGAATATGACATGGTTTGTCTGTGCCTGTGTGAGGAAATCCTTCCCTGAACACTGGCACAGGTTACAGACATTACTGGACTGCTTCCACATTCTGTCTTACTGCCTTCCCTGAAGGACAGATCCACGTAATATACTTCATTTACTCTGATCCATGTAGCCCCTTTAATTTAGTCTTGCTTAAAATAGTAGATGTATGCAGCAAGACTTAAACCCAGGCTTTCAGCATTAACTGCTAGGTGGTTAGAAACAGGTTACCAGATAATGAGGAAATATGGCACGTTCCCTCTGTCTTAGTTCATGCACGTGAGGCAGGGTTCTTGGGGCATAAATTGACTTTGAGAGGTAGAACCTAGTTTTCAAGCATTTGCCCTGTCAGGGTTCTAGTTCCCTTCTCTCCTCCAGGAGGCCTCTGCTCAGCTGAAGTATAAATACCATGTCGCCATTGAAACCTCAGCTGTACAGGAGACATTTCCTTCCCTTATATCACACCTAAGCAGGAGCTATTGAAATCCTAAACTGACTCCTCTCACCTTGCCTATCTGGTTTCACCTGTGTTATTTAAAGCCCTCAGGGTGATAACGACTTATCAAACAAAACATGAATTGCATATTCATCCTGCTAAACCCATAATCTCTGGTAAAGTTACAGATGGCTATTGAAATCTGTGCGGTATTTCAGAACATGCCATTTGCACAGGTGATACAACTTTACTACAACATTTTTGGAAAGCACTAACTTCAGACCAAACTGTTCCCCATCTAATGGTCAATGTGAGGTTTCCTGCATCAGGCCATCTAGAGGGCTCCCAGAAAACATTACGGGGTGGAGTGTGGGGTTCATGCTCTCCAAAGTCTCCATCATTCTAAATTATTATTCATCCTTGACTGTTTCCCAAATTCCCCCATTTCTGTACACTAAAAACACTCATCAAGCCTTGTTTTTAGCATAAACAGTTAGAGCTGAGTTTCAGACGTGTTGAACATCAAATTTTAGCTTAGGGCAAATAAACTCTTCCTGTGAGATCTAGACCCTGCAGCACATTTAGCCCTGAGATTGTGCCTGGAAGTTCAGGAGGAGTTAGGACAGGACTCACCATGACCTTACTGAACATCTCAACATCATTCAGGTTCTCATCAGTCACACAACCAGACTGGTTCAAGTAGCGATAAGTCTCTGGCTCAGAGAGGGAGAGGCTCTCTGCAACAGAGGAAGAGGCAGGGAGGAGAAAGACAACAATTTATTTAGCACTCAGCCTTTTCATTCTATGACCTTAGTCCCCCAAGACAGTGCGTATGTCTACCATAGGGAGAGTTCATCTGAACAGATCCCATATCCTTCAAAAGCCACACCTAGACAGTGAATGCACTGGGGAAGGGGAAGAGAAGGGTGTGTGGTAACAATGCTTGCAGATGGTATGCAAAATGATTTAGAACAGTCAAATCCCAAGCTGCAGAGTGGCAGAGGAATATTTCAATACTGAATTGACTCAGGAAAAAAAAAAACAAAAAAAACAACACCCCAAAACCCCAGAAGATGAAATTCAGTCTTGTAAAGTCTTCAGAATGTATGTGTCTTAACTATACACGTACGGTAATGACTTCTAAATTAGATATCAGCACTTGAAACAGAGCTGAGAGAGTCACAGTAAGATTTCTGAAGGCATCATCACAGTGCCGAGCAGCAGTCAAAAACTGAACACAGTTCAGTTCAGTTCCTTCAGTTTCAGAACTAAACATCAGAATTAGGTTTCTATACCTATCTGTAGCATAACCACATCTTAAATACTATCTGCAGGTTTGATTCCCCATTTCAAAAAGGATAGAGGAGAACTAAAAAAATCTATGGAGAAAGGAGACAAGGATGATCAAGAGATAGAAACACATTACAGATGAGAGAAGGGAAGCAGCCTGGGACACCAGTTTGGGCAAGGATATGGGGGAAAATAGCAGAGATCTGCTTAAGAATGTAACCTGTTTTGTATGCTTTCCTTAAGTACTTGCTGATAACCATGGTCCCCACTATGTGCCTTTGCTTTAGATGGACCTCTGAATTGACCCACATGGCCATTACTGTATGAACTCCCTCGAACTGAAGCCCTACTTCCTTCCACTCTGTGTCAGGCCCAATTCTTCCATTTTATTATTCTAACACAGAAAGAACAAAGACATAAAGAAATTCCCCAGGCCCTCAAAACCAGAGTGCAACTGTAACGTGTTCCTGCCCACCTACCTGACCTCTTCAGCAAGACCACCAGTGCTCAGCAGTGCCCTGGGCAGGTACACACAAATATTGTTAAGCGGGGGGGGCTGCACTACAAAGAGTTCCACAGCTGCCGCTTTCTGTGCATGCCCTCTTCCAGACCCACCTCTCCCTTCCCCATGTACAGAGCTATAAACCCTTTGTTCAGATACTACACGTTTTGACCCTAGTCCTGCCACTACATCACTCATCTTTCTCATTCTTCTCTCTCCTATTACCTATACTGAAGGTTTGTTGTAAAAGTATTTCTGTCATTTCAACCTTTGAACAGCTGCCATCTACCTTTCCTTTGCCTCTAGCCCAGTTTCATTACCTCATCTCTCTATACCCCCTCTTCACTTTGCACAGACTTTTCCCTCCCGCTCAGAATGCCCAAAGTGTCTTTTCTCATACAGCATTTCTGTCATCCTCAGCCTCTTTCGCTCAACGTCCCGTTCTGTTTCCCATGAAACCACCATATGGTCTTCAAGAAAGTTTTATATCAAGTCCCTGAAATATCCATGCTCTAGCTGACTTACACCTGCTTCACGTGCTGGACTGGAAAGAGGACAGAGCCATATCCCCAAAAATGAAAATTACCTTTCTGCTCCCCACTCACACCAGCTAGCAGAGCATAAAAGATGTGATAATTCCTCTCTCCGGGGTTCTGGTGTACCACTCTGTTCTGAAACAAAGAACACAGGAGTAGACAGTAGAAAAAGATCACATTTGTGGTTGCAAAGGCAAAGATAGGACCAGGATACAGGTAAATCTCCAAGGCCAATGCACAAGAGGGGCTTCTTCCAGTTTTGGGATGGTGTTGTCTAAATAAGCTGTACATCGTGATCTTGTCATGTGGCTGTGTAACTGAGCAGGTACAGGCTTCTCTGAACTTGTTTAGAGAGCGCAAGCTCAAGTGCTGAACCTTGTCAGTTCTAGCCCTGCTGCTCAGTGAGCTCCTGAGTCCAAAGTAAACTACATCAGAGCAGAGATGTCTGCATTTGGACTTATACCCCCATATTCCTCTCTATGGAACTGAGTTTCCAGGTGTTTCTTCTCTCCCCCTTTCCCCTTGGGTAAATAGCTTTTTGTTGGAGTCTTTCTGTAATGCACCGCATTTATCAAAAGACAGGAGAACAAGCTCTGATAGATACAGAACAAACATTGTTCCTCCACCATCCTTTTCCTCAGCTAGGACAGTTGCAGGAGTAACACCTAAAGAGCTAATGTCTATGTGCTGTGATGAAGGCGGCAGCATCATCCAGGAGGAGATCCAGCACTGCCCCACCAATACTACCAGGAAGGGCCTCACCCAGCAGGCAGTAGAGGTGATACCTACCTTTTCCAGTAAATCTGAACAGCATGTTAAGGAGAAAACATTCAAATGACATATTGACAGATATCCTGACAATGGGCAAAGGATCTTCTAGACACATTGGGATGAACCCTGTAACAAGTAACAAATCATAAAATAAATGATGCTTTGGAAAGTGGACAAAGAGTGGTCCCAAACATCATCTCGGATCCTCCTCTCCACTCCTTGTCCACAGAGGTTTTATGTGCCAAAGAGATATTTAAAGGGGCAGGGTCAGATAGAGCATAAGATCTGCACAATGGTGAGGTAACCTAACAAAGGATGAGCCACATTAGGGACACCTAGAAAGATTAGAGCGGCCACTCTAATCTGAAAGTCTGTATTACACACAGCAATTCTTGCATCAGTTCTCATTGCTTCTGCAAGACACCGCTATCTTTAATCTACCGACAGCACAAAGAGCAGAGACTAAACAATCCAAGCCTGTTATTTACAACAGTAGTAAATTCATCTGACTGCTACTTCAGTGGAAATTGTGGTTTGTAGTCATCAGCAGCTTTGAACATCAACATCACGAAATGTAGCCAGGGCAGCTTTAGCTGCCTCATGTAGACAAGAGATATGTCAAAGCCTTTGGGAGAGGGGTACATGGGCATACAGGGAAGGAAGTGGTTGTGACACAACATAATTCAACTGTATCCAGTCTTCCCTGTCCTTGTTGTCACTGGAACAGGCTCCCCAGGGAAGTGGTCACAGCACCAAGCCTTTCAGAGTTCAAGGAGCGTGTGGACAACACTCTTATTCATGTGATTTAATTTTAGGTAGTCCTGAAAGGAGCAGGGAGTTGGACCCGATGATCCTTATGGGTCCCTTCCAACTTGAGAATATTCTATGATTAGGGTTCCAAGGTCCACTGGAGATGGGCACCCCAAAACAGGGAGTCATAATTGGCCCTCTAAATTCCTTTTCTCCTCTGCATCCAAATACTGTGCATAATATATTGATTCTTAGCTTGGTCTCACTTTTCTAAATCATGATTTCATTGGTAGAACTAACATAAGAGAACAATCTTCTGGGAAAAACAGGGTGCAATGAATGTGAGGGATCTTCCTAGGTAGGAAGTTCTAGGAATTGAAGAATCAAGTGTTGCGATTGCCAAAGCAAAAAGTCAAACTATGTCCCTACCTAATGTAGTACCTAGACAAAAGGGTTCCAGATTTAGGTGCTGCAGAGCCACAAAACAAACACTTCTTCCCTCTTTAAGTTGCAAATTTGCCCACACTTATAAACTGCCTTTGAAACACTGTGATGAGGGATTTCCTCACCCACTCTGAGCTCCTCCTCATATTTGCTCACTCCATCCGTTTCTGGTCCACTGAAGAAAAGGATACAATCAGTTACTCGTCCTCCCTGGATGTGTCCATGTTGAGAGAAGTGCAGCTGGATGAACTTGCCAAAGCGGCTGGAGTTGTTGTTATAAACTGTCTTGGCATTTCCAAAGGCCTCCAGAATAGGGCTGCAGAAACAAGGCAATGGAGATAGGATTGGTGATGGGATACCATTACAGCAAAGCGTGTGCCCAACCTTTTGCCATGTGCACAGCGTGCACTGCCATGTGAGATTAATTTGTTACAGCACCAGACTGGACAAGCAGGAAGAGCTCAAGGGTAAGGAAGGATGGCAAGAGCAATTTAACACACTGCTAGATGAATTTTAAACCTTTGGGAATGGAGTTAATTAAATCAGTCGCCAGTCAGTATGGGCAGCTGGAGTTCCCCACCAATGTGGCTTCAGGAAATGAAAGGTGGCAAGACCCAGCCAGGCTGTATGCTTGACACAGCAGCTTCCCATGAAATGGGTTAATGGGTTTGTATTTCTTTTCAGGATTTTCAGAAGCATCAGACATATAGGGCAAACACTCCGTAGCTTTAAACCACATACTTCTTTGTTTCTGTTTCTTCCTTTGAAAGAGAACATCTCTTAACAAGACATCTCTTAAAATCACAGGTAAATGTTTTCAAACTAACAGACAAGCATAGTACTAAACTGATTTGTTTGGTACTGAAATTTGATACCGGAACACACAAACCCTGGGTGTTACTTAAACCTTGCTTAGGTTGATACAAGCTATGTGGTTTCCAAGCACAGGGAAATATACACACACTATAGATTTGAAAAGTTCATTCTAAGACAGCTATATCATCCACTTCAGGGAAAAAAACGTGGAAAAAAATTAATAAAAATATCGCCAAACTTCAGACAGATGATGAGTTGAAGAATTTTGTCTCCTGTTCACCTTCCTGTCTTCAGGAGGTTCACGCAACATGGAAAAGAGGGACTTAAAATGCAGCTTGATTCTTGCTCCACAGAACAGCACAAGGCAAAAACCTAAACCATTCAAACTGACACACCAGATCCAGGATTAAAATGTTCATTTTTGAAATTTAGCCAATTCTAAAATAATCTGAAGGCCTGATAAGCAAGGAGTCACGGAGATGCTACAAGAAAAAGGGTAGATGTGGTACTTGGAGACATGGTTTAGAAGCGGTTTTGTCAGGTTTGGTTAATGGTCGGACCTGATGATCTTAAAGGTCCCTTCCAACCTCAACAATTCTATGATTCTATGTTTAATTCTGAAACATACATGGCTTTAAACAAGTTATTGCAGTTACTACCCTGAGAAATACTGGCTTTTTAAACATCTCCAACAATCTACTGAGCGGTTCCACTGGAGACGGGGCAGACACAGGATTAATCACAAGTTAATAATTATAACATGACAAATAATCACAACTCCAGGTACTGCTGGCGTTTGCTGAAAGCTTCAGGCCTTGCAAGCGTTAGCTAAGCAAGAGCTGTTGCTGTGAGAAAGGTCCAACAACCTTCAGGAAACTTCAGGCAGCATTTTCCTAATGTATCACTTTAAACAAACATAAGCATAGGAATGAAATTGCTCTCTTATAACACATTACAACCATAGAAAACCCAGTGACAGAAATCTGTGTGTACAGATTGGGCGCCAAGTTCCTTGCCCTGGAGAATTTGAACTCCAAGACCCACGCCTCTGAAACAAGTATGTAAATAAGGACATTGCACAGGAATATCCCACTGAGCACACCGATGCCATGAATCAACAAAAATTAACGGGGACAACCAGAAAAAAGGGAGGACAGGGTTATGTTATATGACCACCACAGTTGCAGTGAGAGTGCAGTAATCAGCCAGCCAATCTCTGTGGCTCTAAATCATGCTAAATTAGGTCAGCAAAGCACAAGGAAGTATCTTTATAGTTTAGTTTGGCAATGAGCTCGCGTGTATGAGTGCAGAAGTCTTCCAGGGATGGGGGAGGAAATAGGCACGTGGGTGTCCGAGGCTGGTGGCAGCTGGAAGGCAGAGGGGTGGGTGAGCTGACACAGCCAGGAAGGAGGGCAGGTGCCACGTCCAAGCAAACTGCCCACGCCGGCAGGCACAGCACAACAGAATCACAGAATCTCCTACATTGGAAAAGACCTGTAAGATCATCTAGTCCAATTGTTAAGCTAACACTGACAAGCCCACCACTAAACCATGTCCCTGAGCGCTATATCTACACGACCCTTAAATACCTCCAGGGATGGAGACTCCACCACTGCCCTGGGTAATGCATTCCAGTTCCTGATGACCCTTTCAGTAAGGAAATTCTTCCTAATATCCAATCTAAACTTCCCTTGGTGCAACTTGAAGCCATTTCCTCCTGTTCTATCACCTGTTACTTGACAGAACAGGTCGACTCTCACCTCTCTGCAGCCTCCTTTCAGGTAGTTGTAGAGCGCGATAAGGTCTCCCCTGAGCCTCCTTTTCTCCATGCTAAACAACCCCAGTTCCCTCAGCTGCTCCTCATAAGACATGTGCTCCAGACCCCTCCCCAGTTTCGTTGCCCTTCTTTGCAGGCACTCCAGCGCCTCAATGTCCTTCTTGTGGTGAGGGACCCAAAACAGAACACAGTACTCGAGATGCGGCCTCACCAGTGCCAAGTACAGGGGTAAAATCACCTCCCTGGTCCTACCGGCTACACTATTCCTGATACAGGCCAGGATGCCGTGGCACCTGACACAGCAGTGGAGCGAGGTGGAGCGGCATGTGAGGAAGGTGATGCTGGCTGCTCGGCTGGACGTGGGCAGGCTGTGCCACAGGACGCAAAAGGCTGGGAACCCATTTCAGCAGGGCAGTGGAAAGGGAAGCCCTTGGAAGGGCTTTTAGAAACAGGGGAAAAAAAAGGGAAAAGGGAAGTGGAAGGGATTTTAGAAACATTGCAACGGACGCAGCTCTAGGATTCAGGCACGTGGCTGAAGACAAAAAAGACGTTTCGAAGATTAGAGGGATGAGTAACAGGAAAGGTGGCTATGCTGTGGCACCCAACATGGAGAAGATGGGAGCTTCAGAGTCAAGCAAGCAAGACAAAAAAAACAAGAGGAAAGTTAGCAGAATTTGTAATGGACTGACGGATATTTTCAAAAAGGAAACCAGAACAAATCAAGAGCGCCAAGGGAGTTTTCAGAGCCTGATTTCTGAGAAATACACCAAAGCACAAATGTTACAACACACAAGTAAATGATAGAAAGCTGACGTAACGCTTTGTTTATAACGCTGTCTGAGATGGGGAAGAATCCAGCATTGTTCCTGGGTATGTGCTGGGGTGCAAGGATGAAAATCCGCCATAAGCTAACCCAAGGAGGGCCAGGGGCAGAGCAAGTGAAGCTGAACTGCAAACGTATGAGGTAGACTCGTTAGGAGTGGCAGCAGCTTCTGGCTCTGGGCCAGGTCTTCAGCTTTTCTTCAGGGAAAAGGTGACAAATTAAATTCTCCTGCACTTGCACTGCGATAGCTCACGTAGCGCTAGAGATGTACACAAAACGGGTCGCGAGCTCTCACTCCACCTCACAGCTGTGGGATCTTGCAGTCTCAGGAATCATCTACCTACCATCGTAAGCTTTCTGGATCGCAGTCAAGTCACCACTTAACTGCTAAGCAGGCTTGAGCCTTCTAAGCCACTTGCCTTAAAGCGGATTTTGCAGATCTTGAGTTGTGACTGTATCGCCCTTAAGAGCTTTTTCCAATTTGCCAACGTCCCTGGTAAAATCTGTGCACCTGCAAAGGATAAATCATCCAACAACGGTCTCTCAAGCACCAGGTCCAAAGGCAGCAACTCTTCTGCTCAAGGCTGCTCTGCTTAGAAGGAGCCTAATCCTGCACTGCTCTCGCAGCTGCCACGTTAGACACCGCATGTCTGCTTAGGCTATTTTCACCACAGTTGCTAGTAACTTTTTGAGTCACCGTCTTCCAGGAAACATTCCTTCTTTCTACTCTCCAGGGCCTGAAATGTGCCACTTGCATGAGGGTCACTTTTACACAGATGGTTCAAAGGATTCCAGCTTATTACACAACTAGAGCCTGTTGCGGACATATGATTTACTCCTTTGGAGGTTTCTGCCACTATCACAGGCTCAAACTGGGACCAACCTGCAGCCTCACCCTGGGCAGTATCGAACTGCAAGACTCCCAGCAAGGTCCTCCAGTCATAGGCAGGACAGTCTTGTGTTCGGAAATTTTTGTTTAATTTAACTCAATTTATTAAATAGAATTCAGATGTTAAGAAAAAGGAGGACACAAACAATAAAACAGGCACTTAAGTAAACATCTTTCCTCCCTCTTCCCAAGGCTTACCTGAAAGTCAAACTACTATTGTCCTCCTTTTCTTAGCCTCAGCTTTCATTTTTAACCTCAGGTTACAACCAGTCCCACACAGCTCCCCCCACAAGGCAGAGGGCAACACAGGAGACTGGGGTCACACACACATAACTCTCTGTCGCTCTTTGCTTCCTCGTTTTAGAATCATAGAATGGTTTAGGTCAGAAGGGGCCTTGAAGATCATCGAGCTCCAACCCCCCTGCCATAGGCAGGGACACCTCCCACTCCTCTTCTCGGCTGCTCTTTGCCTCTTACTGCTTTTCCTCAGCTGCACTTTGCTTCTTCAGGATTTCCTGACACTTTTTTCCTTGGTGTCCATATTCCAGCATGGGTCACCCATGGTTCCTCAGGAGCGTCCCTGCCCTGGTGTGGGCCATGGTCCCTCAGGGGCATCAGGACCTCCTTTGGCATGAAGGATCCCCTGCACACTGTATCTCTACCCCCTCACAGCTGCCAGTTTCTCTCCCAAACACGTTTGATCCGGGCACCATGTGCTTCCCTGCTGTCCTGATGCCTTGGCAAGGTTTTGGCAGGTGGTGGTTATTCCCCAGTGCCAGCTTCAGCCGAGACCAGCTCCAATCAGCCCTGGACCTCTTCCCGCATGGGCCCTGCTGCAGCCCCCAGGGAAACCTCCTCGCTCCTGCCTCTTACAGCTCCTGTGGACATTTCTCTGTGAAATCACCTGCCTGGACAGGAAGAGAGCTGCAAGATGGCGCACAGGACTTGCGGGGGCAAGACGTACCGGTGGCCTGAAACAAATGGAGGCCAGGAGTTGGAACGTGATGGAGACTCACCATGAACACAGCCACAACCGATAGCTGTGGGAGACGGGGACAACCTGAGATGTCACCCACGTCCCCTCCAGCCAGTGCCATGAGAGACATGGACCTGAGAGCCAGAAAGAGGGACAGCGCAGTGATGTACGGGTGGCAGCCGGGCAGGCATGGAGGACAAGTTACCGAAGGAAGGAGGAAGCCCAGCCTTGGTGAAAGCATTAATTCTCCAGCTGCCACACGCACCCCGTGCTGCTCTTAGAAAGAAGCCGAATTAATCCACAAGCTGCTGGGAGAGCAGCCAACGTGAGGTGTCCCGGCAAGACCGCGACCTCCCCATTTCCCTGACATAACACCGTCGGGCTGCATGAGCCTCACCTCACTGCCCAGCTTTGGCTCCATGGGCAGCCCGAATGCAAACACTGCCCCTGCCAAAGGCAGGCTGCCCCAGCACATCCGTGTCTGCAGGGACGGGACCCATGGTGCCAGTGGGAGTGACCATACCTGCTTTCCAGGATGGCTTCTTCCACACGAGTGCTCTTCTCCAATGCAGGGGCCCCCAGGGAGGTCTGGCTCATGGCTGACAGAAATTTCAGCAGCAACTTGGTACTCTCAGTCTTTCCAGCTCCGCTTTCTCCACTGTTAAGGAAAAGACAGAGGTTCCATTCACAAATCCAGGACAGAACGAGCTAAAGCCCATCCCACCCATGGCAGAGAAGTGATCTCCAGGAATAAACGTGTGGCGCTTCCACTGCGGCAAGCAGGAGTCAGGCACAGGGTAGGGTAGGATAGGATAGGATGGTGTGGATATTTAGGCAGATGTCATTGCAAACGGAGCAGCAGGAGCAAGGCGTGTAATGCAGTCAGGGAGTAGCCGGTTCTCCCGTTTCTAACCTTATCAGAACACACTGGCTGTCATGACGCTTCCACAAGCAGCAGTAGCACTCGTTAGCGGTGGCGAAGATATGGGGAGGCAGCTCACCCAGGCGGTGCTGTCTGTACAGGTCTATGGCATCCACACTGTACAGACCAGGGATGGGTTTGTAGGGATTTACTGATGCCAAGATGGAACCAATGTTTGTCTAGGGGGAGAAAACAAAACACAGCAAGGAAATAAAACTCCTGAAAAAAAAAATTAAAAATCACGACAAACCTGGACCCTGAAATAACTCACGATGAAGGGAGAAAGCCTAAATAAGGAAGTTGGGCTTCAGCGGAGAGCTCCCCAATTTGGCAAAGAATGTCAAACCCCAGGGCAGGGGCTGCACGACTGGGTATGGATGAGGCAATTTGAATGTCACTGCTTTACAATAAAATGTTTTTAGTCTGTTATCTTTGCTAAATTAAGCTTACACAATTTAAAAACATGAAGCCATCTTCATACCCTGCTACCTTGCACTGTGCTTGAAGCTGAAAAGCAGAGCCAGGACTGCAGGAGTGTCAAGAGATACTTTCAATGCCCCTGTTCACAGTCTTAAGCCCCGAAGAGGGGGCTTGGCAGGGTTCAAGCACCTCTCGAACAAAGAGGTGGGACACAGAGACACGCACACATGTGCGCAAAGAGCCACTAAAGCGTATCGTTTTTCTTCTACTGAAAAATGCTGTTTGGAGCAGCTTAAATCATTTGGTAAGCTGAATCAAAATTGACAGCTGAAGACAAAGCTGAGGATTTAAAGTCAAAACATTTCTACATTTTCGAAACATTTTGAAAATATTTATTTTGAAAATCTCACAGTTCAAGAAAAGAGTTAGTAAGGTTTAAAATAAAATACCCAAAGCCTAATAATGAATTTCAAATGTATACTGTTGTAAAGTCAGAAGGAAATTAATTTTGGTTTTTGGGGCATGACTTTTTCGGTTCAGCCAACCAGCTCAAATCCAGTTATTCTCAGAGCTGCAGTTCAGAGCAATGGTGCCACCTGTCTCCTAACAAGGGCTTTGTAATATGGTCAACATCCAGCTTAAATCCTGCTGCTGGTGCAGTGGCCTCCTTCACGGGGACATCTTGGGCTGCTCTACTCCAGGAATACCCATTCACAGCAGGGGTGACAGAGGAAACACTTAAGATTGCCAAGGTGCCAAGCTTTGTGGCCAGGGACAACATCTAGTATTATCTCCAAACCATGAACTGCGAGTCACCACGTACATATACAGGGATTTGCCTGCATCCATTGGAGAAGCTGTAAACAAAACACTTGGTGACACGAAAGATGCGTGCTTTCTCCCTGACAAATGAAATCTGGGGCCATACTGCAATGTCAAGCTCTGAAGCCAGACTAAGATGCTCTAGTCACCGAAATATTTAAAAATCATTTATTAAAGCAGCAGTCACAGATCATCAGGGGAAAAAAAAGCCTGTCACCTAGGCCTAATTGCATTATCGGTATGAACAGGCTAGCATGGAACAAGGCCTGAGGACCCTCTGACATGGACCTTTGTGGGTGGAAGTATTGTGGGCGTTGGTGGTGAAAGCAATAAGCAAGCAGATGAACTTTGGCAAGACAGGTGGGAGGAAATGGGAGAGAACAGAGAAAACATGGATCGGGAAAAAGCACTATATGACCAATTCAGCAACAGACATTGTCCAGAGACTGCAAGACAGTGATGTCCATCCTAACACTTCTCCCAGACCTTCACAGTATTTTTTCATCTCAGATGTTTCATTTTGCATTTCCCACTCCAGTTTCAGCTCTCCCAAGGAACAGAGCTCCCACCTCAGTCCTTTCTAGAACTTCTTCCAGTACAGCCATCTCTTTCAAAGGTGTTTCTAGGAAACTTTTCCATCCCCCCGTTGCAGTCTCCTCATCATCTGCAGTCCGCTGTAGACAATTTCTATCCACGATTTTTAATAGTGGCATTTGTGCATCAACCGTGTACATACCAGCCACTCTATTAGCAAGGAGTGATCGTCCCCAGAGAACTCTCTGGGACAAGCCACACGTGGCATGTCTACTTCTCAAGACAATAGATCCTACTTGGGTGGTTAGGCATGGCAGAGCTAGGGACAGCACAAAATGTGGCAGTACATCCCCTGGTTCATTTATACATCATTCACGTTATGTTGGGTCTACTTTATTAAGGGATGCAGGAATTGCAGGAATGAAGGGGGAAGATACACTTTTAAACGCTGCAGGCTGTTGCTGCACTCACATAATTTTCTTAAACAGTTTGGTAGAGCTTGAATAGTATTTCTTTGGAAAACAAAAGATACTGTTGAGATTTGCAGTATTCCTGTAGCATGTTAATTATGGGTACCACATCAGTACTGCTACCTACACTCCCTGACCAGAAAGGATCCCCTTTAGAAGTTCATGGTAGGATGCCTCCAGGCACACAGCTCAAAACTGCATTGCCCTTTTTTCACAGCAGTTGTCCATTTCATGTTTTCAGTTTTCCATCCCGGCATTATTTTTTATTATTATTTATTATTATTTTTAGTACTAATTACCAGTATTCCAGGTTACCCATTCCTTCAGGTGAATTTGCTTTCCAGAAAATGATGATATCCCTCACCCATTTCTGATCCCTGTGATTTCCTTCCAAATATTTTTGGCCCTGATGGATAGGCATAACTCCTCTCAGTACAGCTTCATCTGCAACCTTAGCCTACTACGCTCTATCTGCGGAGACCATGGAGAATGATATTAAATGAACTCAACCCCTGTAACATTCATGGTATTCACGGATCACTGCAAGTCATTAGGGGGCACTACAGCTGACATTCTCAATTTCTGCTTAACTGAAAACTATACACAGCAGGGCTGCGGCAAAAACTAACAGTTAGTGTCAAGGTAACTGCAATATTAATGTCTGAACTGCAGAAATGCAAAACAGCACTTGTCCGGTTTGGTGTCCTCCAGGTCAGACATTGCACAAACATATACCCAGATACGGTCCCCCTTAAGAAGGGACTTATAATCCTTCACCGAGGGTTTCTTCCCAGTGCTCAGCATATTACAGAAGTCAGGCCCCTTCAGAAATCTCCCCAAAATTCAGATCTGAGGTGCACAGCTGACATTCATGCACTATGCACAGGCAAAAAAATGACATCATATTTAAACTTTTAACACTTTTACACATGGATGGAGAAGCCACAGACCTAATGTTGAAGAGGAGAAGGAATGACATATCAGAGCTAGAGGAAAGGCTTAAGGAGATACAGCTGCTGTGACACTGTCACAGTGCTGGTGTTGTGGCATTTCTGGTGCAAGGCACAGACTGAAAAAGGAGAGAATCCCTCCTCACAATTTCAAAGCGTGAGGAAGAGGTAACAGGAGGAATACACACAAATGGGCAAAGAGCTGCACAAACACATAGCACGCATCAAACACCGGTCAGGACGAGCAGCAAGGACAAGGGCCATCAAAAGAGTGTGTGCACGTGGGTACTGCCACGGGGTCACAAGGCAATGTTGACAGACAACGGGCAAGGGAGTCTACAGCAACAAAAAGGAGAATTTGCAGCCTCCTCTGCATCCCAGTGCAGGAGATGGTTCAGAAATGGGGTCACTTTATTGATCATTCCCTGGAATACAGGTGCGTATGGTTTGGTTGTCTTGGTAACAGTTGCTATGCAACACAGAGAGAGATTTACATTTTTCCTGTCATAATATGAAAAACTCTGGGTGCACGAAGCATGGACAAGCAAGGTAAGAGTAAAGCAAGGTAAGGCAGTCTGTGTAATAGATCCTCCTAGTCCTCTCCGAGTCTCAGCAGAGCACACTGCCATCCCAGCACTCCAGGGATGTCTCGTCCCAGGTGTGCTTTTCCTCTCAAGTCCCTTTCCTGACTCTTGCCTCCTTCTTGAGGGCCCGAGAGGGAAATTGGGAGATGCTTTGAGCATTCATCTGTGCAAGAGGAGCAGAGCAACTCAAAAAAGGCACAATTGCACATAAAAGCCAAAGAATTAGGCAACAGGTTTGCTTTCCTAGTTTTGTCAAGCAGTAACTTTCTCCGGATCAGGAGGGATACTCAACAACAACCTGCGTACCCTACACTTTCCAGTCTACCTGGCCATATAAACCTCTGAACAGTAATAGCGGGGAATCCGGGGAACGTGAATGCCAGCTTGTAAAACACGGGTGGTCATGGAAGATACAGAGCTGCACAATTACCACAAAGCCTAGAGGTGAATGTTCATGTTTTGAAAGTTCTTCTGTAGAAGCAAAGAGGCCCCTCTGGTAGGGGTAGGCTCTCACAGGGCTGATGGAGGTGGCAAGGCAGAAAAAAAACCTCCATCTCTATCCACACGAAACAATGCTCAGGAAACAATGCTAAAATCATCATTTCACATGCAAAAAGTGGCAGCCCCAGAGCTAAACTAAAATCATCAGCCAGAAGGGACGTGGCCCAACTTGAGCACTTACATAGATGTTACCCTGTTGGTAGCGCTGGTGCAAGTTGAGCAGGATGGCAGCTTCATGCAGATCTCCCAGCATGGACATGTCTTCTACCCCATCAACGCTGGTCTGGTGCATTGGCAAGACCTTTTCTCTGGAAAGGGAGGTCTTGGGGTACTGGAATACCTGGAAGAATGGGGACAAGAACAAATAAGCTCATGACACCTGGGCACATGGTCTGATTTCCTAGCAGAAACATGCCCCTTTCCACAGCTTTATACTTCAGCACTGGAAAAGGAAATAAGACACAGATCTGCTCCCTATTTTTACAGTCATTCTTCCGTTCCTGTTCCTACCTATTTGAGCTCTCTGGCCAGAAGCCATACAGTGCACTCCCTTGTTCTGCTACAGACTCAATCTCTCACCTTCATTACTGACAGGGACAGATGAATGCAAGGTTACTTGATTTTTACGGAAATCCTCTTAGCAGGAGCAGCGCACCAGCCTCCAGCTGTACCAGGCTGGACAGGTATTACACACTGCACTCATGAGTGGGAATACCGATGGCAGCTGCTCCCAAGACACCAGGAACAGTCTTTCACAAAAACACAGGTGAGATCATATCTGACTGTGGGGAAGTTGAGGCAAAGCTTATCCACATTCCAGGTTTGGCCCTGCACTCTCCATAGGAGTAGCCAGAGAGCGTCTGGGAGAGGCTGTCATGTCAAGAGCAAAGGAAAGCAAAGCAGATGAGAAGCCAAATAAAGCAGTGACATCCTGTGTGCATCCTGGCATGTATGTATCTGATGCAGCTTTCATAATGTTTGTACAGTGACAGCTATTAACTTCTATCACTGCTCTGGGAAGTGCCTACTTCCCTCTCTGTGCAGTTGCACTCCTCTTGCCTCAACTGCCGCATCCTTCTTCCTGCTGCAGCTTCCTCCTCCTCAATAACCCACTCCTCAGCTATCAGGTCATCTTCTTCACCCCTTTTCAACGCAGCTGAGATTATGTGACTGTTTCCCTCCACCATAGCCACATCCCAGCCCTCCTTTCCTCCTCCTCAAGCACGACGCTGGCATTTCACAAAAGTTATTTCAGTTGCTTCCCACTCTTGGATTCAATGATGCACCATCTCCCACCCAGCATCCCAAGCTGCGCTAGATGGTAAGACCCAAGATAGACAGATAGGAGACTTCATACAGGCAGCTTGGAGAAGCAAACTGGCCCACGGTAACCCTTCCAAAGAAACTTGGGCTTTCCCTTGCCTTCTAGGGCTCTGGTCTCCATTTCCATCCCTGCTTGTCAGCCCTCCTGGGTGCCAGCAAGAAACTGACGGACCCCGTAGAGAATGAACCATGACCTATAGCGTTGATCTAACTGTTTTCTCCTGCCTGCTTTCCTGGAGTCCTCAGGCTGCCGTAACTGCTAGGGAGAGGCCATCCACGCAGCTGCAGGCTGAAGACAGAATGAGGTCACCCTGCCCCCTCCAGCGAGCCACCCTTGCGAGTCCCCCGCAGGGAGCTTACTGCTGCAGTGCGTTGCAGGTGCCCACCAAAAACCACCCCTCCTCAGCTCTGAGCCTGCACCCTTGCCACTGCAGGGAAGGAACTACCTGGCATGGATCCCTTTACCAGTTCCCCCCCCCCAGGATGCCTGCAAAAACGTGCACAATCGAAAACAGCGGTTCTGCTCCTGGAGGGAACTGGGGAGAAGAAGCAGACTTACTTCCCCAGTTGTCTTCACCCCAGGTCTGCCCGGTCACACCTAACGTGACAAGGACTAGGTCTCTTCCACTGGGAAACTGCTCCACAGCCCAGTTTTCTCAGCAGCCAGGAGGATTTCAAAAATACATAGCTCGTGTTCATGAGCAGCGTAGAACGAAGCACACTCCAGCACACAGGCTCTCTCCAGGCCTCTCTGGTCTTCTCTGCCCCACTTCTCCACCTGGGTATCAGAGAGGTACAACTCTGCCAGCAGCAGGACCCCCACTCTGCAAGTATGGCCCAAAAACCCCCCACTTTTTCCCCCCCACACCCTCCTCTTTTTCAGAGCAGAGGCCTCAGGCACTTCCACAAGAGAACTAAGGGAGCAGGAAGGGAGAATGGGACAACTAAATTCAGGGGAGAGTACAAGCTGCAGATGCACAACATGAACCGGACTCTGTCAGAATCAAAACCGCTACAGTGCTTTCAAACCATGAGACAGCAAACCACCCCGTCTCTTTCTTCTCTGCTGCCTTGGACAAATCCAAGGGAAGAGGAACAAAGAGGACAAATGTCCTTGGGAAGAGGACAAATCCAAAACAGTATGACGTGATCTTTCCTTCCATCTGCCTGGCCCTCACTCATTTACCACATTGTCAGCACTTGCAGCCATTTGGGCCAGTAGAGAAACATTAAGAAAATATCTAGGGAAAAGCTGAGTGGACAAATATCCCAAGAGATACCAGGTGGTTGGCAGCACCTTTACCAAGAGGCTGCTGTGCATGAAAAATAACTGTGTGATGCATCAGAGCTTGTTTGCTTGCTCTTGTAGACAACACAAGAGAAAATGGGACCCTGAAGAGCAACTGGGACCCTAAATACACAAGTAAACGATTAGTAGGGATTAGATCATCACTTGTTAAACCTGTCTTGAGCCACTTGATTGGGGTTATTCAGTCACCCCTCTCTACATAAAATCTGGTCCAAGATCCTCAAAGAGTTAAGCAGGTACTCCAGCAGAACTGCAGCAAAGGTGGATTGGGAGCGTTGACTCTGGTATCCTACGGACAGAAACACTGCATAGGTGAAATATATTCCCTGGAGGAGCGGTCTGACACCACATTGACACCCTAGCTGAGTCCAGGATGTCACCTGTCTGTCCCTGAGGCTGGGGAGGTTCACCAAATACCGTTGCCCATCACGTCACCCCTAGCAGCTCACCCTTGCTCAGGCAGAGGCTGGGGCCTCCAGCCCCACTGAGATTTGGGAGGTGAGGTCTCTATGCCTCTGGAAGGCACTTGTGGCACACAGGAGAGGTTTCAGGCCCTCCCTGGCACTGGAAGAGAGTTGGCTTTTAATCTGTCCTCTGCCCTCCAGGGTAGAGACAAGTTACCAGTCTCTGTATCACCAACAGGCTGCAGGGACAATCCAGGGTCCTGGAGATAAACATGTGGTGGTTTTTTGTTTCCTAGATTGTGCCAAAGGGGCTTTCCCTGAGGAGTTCTGAGGGGAGACCCACACATGACCCACACAATGACCCTTCAACCCTTAGAGCTTGCAAGGTGCTGCACTGATCCAGGCCAGCCAGGCCTTTTCCCACCTCCAGTCACCCCAGTAAAGAGGTTCTTGTTACCCCACTGCTCACTTCTGGACTCCTCCAGCAACGTGCTAGAAGACCGGATTGGAGGAACATCCTCCCCATCATCCTGCTCCAGGTAAGGTGAGCCAGTCTGGCTTCAGCAGCTTGCTGATTCTCCTGGCTGATTTAGCCTGAAGCGAGTGAAAACACAGACAAACTATCATCTCAGCAGATCTGCCTCTGGAACATCCCTTTTCCAATAAGTAATACTTAAACAGAAACTCATAGGCATCAGTAAGTTGATCGTTAGTACTTGGGAAGAAAACCCATCAGCTTTCAGTCTAACTACAAACAAGCCATCAAATACCACACAGGCACCTCACAACACAGCCAAAGAGATCTACTTTCTCCCCAGTGATGAACTGATTGTCGCAGATTTAGCCCACAGTCACAACAAAATGACCAGGACTCTCTCCAAGCCCCTGCAATGGTCAGGAATAAAGCAAAACCTGGCTGGCAGACAAGTCAACAACAGGATTGCCAACCAAGCCAGGCTGAGCAGGGGAGAAATTATTCCTTCTCAACCTCAAATCCATCCATTAGTGCAACCCTGAGCACATGAGCAAAGCTCCCACCGAGCATCTAAGTTATGTTTATCCATAAAGTATTCAGCTGGTGTGTCTCGACTGTGGTTTTCAATCTTGTGTTTCCTAAGTGTTGGCTCCTCCTTTCCTCCCAGGAAGTCACATCTCTGATGGATTTGTTGCTTGAGGTGTTTTTAAGGAAGTGAAAACAAATGGCAAAAGCTCTGAAGCCTAACTGGCTGCCTTACCTCAGAGCTGCAAGAGCTGCAAGGATGTTGGGCCACAGCAAACATGAGGACATTAGATCTAGGGATCCTAAAATCAGAGAAGTCAACTGGCCCATCCATCTCAAAGTAAAGCAAAGATGTTTTCATCTGAGTTTCCACCTGGGGTAAGACAGCCAGTCCTGCCTACGGTTATCAAGCAATGAAGGCAGCAGGCAAGGGAAGCACATAGGACAGCTATTGCGGAGGGCACTGAATAAAGAAAGCCCTTCAATGATCAGCATGTGCTTTTTCTGCATAAGCCATAAAGCACATGCTCCTTCAGCCTACTGCTTTCTTCTTTCACGGAGGAAAAAAACAAATCCAGCTTTTTTTTTTAGACCTATGACTCCACCTGGCATTATCCTGTGCACTTTTTCTAGCACGGACACAGGCTGGTGGTGGGTGCACCCACACAGCTGGCTCTATGGTGAGATTTCTAGTGTCCTTTCAGAGGTGCCAGGTGAGTTTGGAGGATTTTCCAAGGCCACAGAAGCATATCAAAAGAGACAGGAGCAAGTCTGGGAGTCACAGAAGTACTCACCATTGGCCGACGCTTCACAGGCTGCTGCATTACCTGTGATGAACGCCTCTGTGATCTCCTAAACTGACTTAGTGACTATCCAGCACTCCCAACACGAGGCAGCTCCTCAAGAAAGGATTTGAGAGGCCACAGTAACCAGATGGAATATCTGTGTTTGCTAGGTGAGTTTCTGTCTCTGAGAAACAAATCAGGCTCTTTAAAGAGGAATGGTGATTTGAAATCTAGCCCTTTCAAAGCAAGACTGAAAAATATGACAGTCCTACCACTGACTCGCCACAAGCTGGAGTCCTAAATCCCCTTTTCCCCTGCACCCTCCTTTGTTTGCCAGGTAAGAGGCTGAAAAAAAAAAACCAAACCAGTCATTTTCTGTAACAAAGAAGCTGCCTGCAGAGCACGTTCATCAGAACAGCTGAGCAGATCTAATTGCTCACTGCTGGAAGGCACAGTCCGGCCCATTTCCCCATCCTCCTCCCAGCCCAGGCACTAGTTTGACTTAATAAGAACCTCAGTGAAGGCAGTGAATAGTTTTCCCAGGGTTAGAGAGCAGAGCCAACTCACTGAGGACTTGGATGATCCCCAGAGGTCCCTTCCTACCAATATTACTCCACGAGCACAGGAGCAGGCATGCTGGGGAACCACAAGGAACACACGGCTGGAAATAAGGCAGGGAAAAGACCCAATTCTTATCGCCAGCATCGTGCTCTGCTTTCAGAGGAGCTCAGCTGCCTTGTTGAACTCTCTTACGTGTAGCTGCTGCACTTAGACGAGGAGCTCACTTCCACGTGACCCTGACCCAAAGGGCTGATGGCAAAACCCACCGAAGCAGATGGCGGTGAGCCCAACAGCCCTTGCAGCAGCACGGCTTGCAAGCAGCACATCCTGGCAGAAAGGGCTGCTTAGTTGGTAGAGCTGCCTCCTTCCTAGGAGCATTTTGCCAATATAATGGTTTTGCTTGGTTGTTAATGCAACTCCTTCAAAGATGGCACAAGAAAAACCAAGCAAAGTGAAGTGGGCAGACAAATGAACAGAAGAAAGACAACAATCTTTTTAACCTTCGTTAGACCTTTGGCACGGTTTGTAACAGAGCTGGATCCATTTTCAGACACAATTGCAGCATTTCAATTGATAAATTTCCTTTTAACGTGAAGGTTGTAGAAGACCAAAAAGTCCATCTTGCAACTTGGCATAGGCTACAGCCTCACGCAAACTTCACTTACCGTGCCGTAATCTGAGGTGAAGAGCACGTTTCCATCGGCAGATAAGCCAACAGTGCATGGCTGCAGCTGGTCCTGCTCCCACAGCCATACCCTGGCACCCTGCAAAAACCAGAAGACCTCCGGTTAAAAAGAACTGGAACTTGCAAGATCCGTACACAGGGTGCTAACACCCCAGGAAAGCTGGGGGAAGCTGCAGTATTCAGAGGAGACTTCCAAGCTACAGCTGCTTAAAATTTTTAAGCAAGTCCTAGTTACGTTTTCAGGGAAACTGGTTTTGGCTTTTTTAACGTAACAGGAGAGGATGAGAAAGCAGTTTTAATCAGTTTCATGCAGAAACCAGTGTAAGAAAACATCAGTTTTTATAACAAGAGTCATGGAAAGATACAAAAACACGCACAATAGTGGGTTTGACTGTCTAAATATTTTCAAACTTAGAATAGCCGGTCATTAAAAGTCATGCTATAATAATAATAGAAAATGTAAATAAAACATGTTTAGAGTTTCATACACCCACACATCATTGTAAGTCAAAATACTTCCAGAAGTCATCAGCTACAGCTAAGTAGACTTCACAGAGCTTTGTTTTCCTCTCTTGCAAAAGTTTCCTTGCATAAATGACATGACTTGAGTGTTTCTCCGATGTGTATATACACTCTGACGTAGGTATAGTTTCACACACACCACAGCATCTTAAATTCCTCAATGTCTCCCAAGTCAACCCTGAGCACCAAACTTCTGGTAACGCAAATGCAAGGATCTGCAGAGCAAGCAGATCTCATACCTCACCTACCAAAAAAGTGCTGGCGAAATCAAGTTTGCTGGCCTGGCCTCTTCTGCCCTGCCCGATTTTGGGACCTGGTTCAAGGGAAAGAAAAAGAGCAGGAACACGAAAGCAAATCAGGGAGAGCGTGACCTACAATTATGCAGAATTAGGCATAACGTCACACTCGCATTTCAGTTATTGCAAACTAATCTGTTCCATGTCTTTCCATAGAAATCACATGAACTCTGCGTAGATAAGTATTGAGAAAAAGCCAAAGTGCTCAACTGTTGAGTAATGTTAAGGCCATCCTGCTTTTCATCGATTCATAGACCTACTTTCTTCTTAATTTGTTTTCCACCCCCAAGTTATTGATTATAAAAGCCCTTCCTATCCTCTTAAACCCATCAGCACCGTTAGCTCTTTGCTTATAGGCTTATTATGTTTGAAGAGATGCAATAGTATTTCTATATTATATTATACAGAATGTGGAACACTAATTCTATTTTTAATGATTTATTTCAGTTTAGGTGTGTTTTTTCTAAAACTACTTTGGTCACTTTAAACACTTTGGTACCCTGGATTTTCCTTATTGTAGAAGATACGTTTACTGGCCAACCTCCAGTCCTCAGGATGAAGAGACTAGTTTTAATGACATTAAAAAAGGCCTACCTAATTCTAGCTTTGCTGCTGTGTTCTGCTCTAGAGTTCCCACAACAGGCAGGTTAATTTGCCCTCACCAAGTGAATGAAAAGCACCAGTGCACCTGATCAGTACCTAACCCAAGAATAGTGTGCAAAGATGACCCTCATGGCCAGTGAGCAATAGAAAGCAATGCTTTCTTATGTTGCAGATTCAAGTTTCAAGATCCCAGAGAGCCAGTAAGCAATGCATTGAATACAGATTTTGAGGAACTATATAGAGGCCTTCATGACATCTTCTTACATTTTCTAAAAATCTTGATGCTTGAGACAAAGTGTTCTGAGGCATGTGGGCAAGACATTGCTGCTGAGAAATCAGCCGTTTCCCAAATCACACGCTGACTGTTCCGCACAAACGTATGAACAGCAGCAACATGCATTAGTAGAAGATTTTCATGCTGTTTTCACCAAAGGCTCCTACTACCATCACGGCACCAAGAGCAAAGAGTCAGAAAACGACAATGTTCTGTGTGGAGTTCCCAACAGTGGGATGAAAGAAAACCTTTTCTAATACACTTATCATGAACACTCATTCTCAACAGCGCATTGCAACACCTTCAGACACCAGTAACCCAGGAGCACACAGGTGAGAGCCTGCAGCAGGAGCCAAGACTGCGCCCTCCCACACACACTGCATCCCAATGCCATGGCACACACAGAAATGCACACACACCTCAGCATTACGTGTGTGCCACGCTCACAGAACCCTACATGGTCTGTCCCTGCAGACCAGGGGGGGAGGAGGGGGTCATGGTTTCACACAATTTCCACTCCCTGAGCTTGGAAATTAGTTTGGAGATAGAGGCAGTTGATAATCTGACACACAAGAGACACTCCCCGGGCACGAACACTGTTATTTAATAGGTACCATTTAGAGAGGAAAAGAGGGGACATGGGCAGTGAGATCCCTCTGGTATCTTCAACACCTAGAAATTATCCAAAAGTCCAGACTGACCCAGACCCCTTTCTCAGCAGAAGTCCACGTGCAAAAGTAGTAACAAATACTCCCAAAAGGAGACCAAATTATTTTGTACAATATTGCACCATTTCCTACAGACTTACAGCAGATCCTGCTGCGTGCTACTAAAGGAGTAGAAGGCAACACGATGAAACTCCCAGGCACTGTGGCATTTCAGCTGCCCAGAACTACTTACTTCAGTTTACTTTGATGTTGTGCTGTTTTTACAACAGCAATTGCCTTTGCCCAGTAGAATAACTGCACCCATTTATGTTGTTTCCAAAAGGAACGTCATGCTGAGACAGCCAGAATAGGAACCACAGAGCAAATAATTATTGTAACTTCTGCCCAGCATAGCCCCCGTTTCCTGAAAGGCTGAGGTTTGTTTTAGTGCATCTCCTTCCATCAGCTCTTTTCTCTACACATGAAATTCCCCAAGGAGCCTTGCCTAAATACAGAAACAGATGGTGACACCAAAGAGACTGCCCTCACATCGCTCCCCTCTCCCCCAATACCACACATTTCATTGATCAGTTGAAAGGATTAAATTGAGCAGAAAACCTCCAAGAACTGCTAGGCAGCAAAGCTGAACTTCCATGGGAGAAGCAAGGGCAGCAGAGCAGAGCATGGCCCAGCACTGCAGAGCAGCGACCTGCCAGCTCTGGTGGGTCCCAGCTCCCGCTGGCACCACAGACGATGGGAAAACCCCTGCTCTCCTAGCACAAGAGTAATACCCCTTCTGTTTTCAAACTGGGATATAGAAGGTCTCACCCATGTCCAGAGACAAAAAGAGTTTAACAAAATGAAGCAACAAGCAATCACGGATTTGAGAAGAACACCTTAAAAGACAGCTAAGGAACAGCAGAGCGATGATTTTGTGTAACTGCTTTCCACCGAATAAAGCTGGCTGAAAACGGATGAGCCAGTTAACTTCAGCCCCTTCAATAATGAGAATAGTTCTTCCCCTCCCAATTCTTTTAACCGTGAGTTTATTACGGGGGTTGTTTTGTTTTAAGTGGAGCAACAACAGCAGGTACTGAAAGAAAGAATAAAGTAGTAATGTACCAGAGTTCCTGTATCAAGGGTAGGTCACTCGAATGTTAAACGAACTCTGAGAGACCAGCATCCTCATTCCCATGGCCTCAGTGATAAGCTGTCCGTGAACTGGCCTTGCCACAAAGCGCATAGCAAAGCACAGTCCTGAGAACCGATCCTGTAACAGAGGGTTATAATTTAGAAAATGAAGTTGTTTGCATACCAAGAGTACCGTTTCATCAGTAGTGCCTCTCTCTCACACCATGCTCTCTTCCACTGTGGACAGTAAACTCTAAGACGTCACTTTCCTCGCTTCACATAACACCTGGCACTTTGGGGTCCTCGACTTGGAAATAACTAACATTTCCTGGTATCCGTGATAGTGAGAAATCAATTGAAGCCACAGATTTCTTTGGCCTTCGATACCTTTTTTTAGAGTGACTGATACCAAGAGTTCTCTCTTGGATTCACACGCCTGTATCCACGTCTCAGTGGACACAGCATGCCGTGTGGGCAGGGAAAGGACAAAGGAGATCTCGTACACCGTACCCCAGGGAAAAGGGCATAGAGGTAGACAAGCAGGGCACAACCCTGATTGCAGAAGCAAAGCACCGAGGCATTAAAGCAGGGTGTGCGGCTACCAGCAGGTACACCCTCCTCCTCAGCTATCCACCTGCTGAAGGCAAAGAGAGTGCCCGAAGACAAGACACAGAACTCTGTCCCTGCCTTTGCCTCTCCACAACCTGCCAGCCCAGCAGGAGACACATTCAGGGACTGACATGAGCAAGCCACTGCTCTGCAACTGTGCCATATCCTGCAGTCATCGTATCCTGCTCTCCTCTTATTTGTGTAGTCTGGACTACCCTCAAATCTTCACGTTTCCCCACGACCTCCTCTTTTCTGGAAATGGCTTCTTCCCAGGTGCAAGCGAGAGCGAGCTGCCCCAGCTGTACAGGGTTTGAGGAGACAGCAGTGCTGCCTCTGACAGCACTCACATGCCCCATTCCTCCTTGTGCGCAAACCTGCAGAATTCCCAGAAGTAACATGCTTGGCAGGGTCTACAACCATGATGGGTGCATCAATTTTGCAGGAGTTAATTCAGAGCAGAAAAGTGCTCTCGGTTGGAAGACACCTTCCAGGGTATGAAACATGCACACAATTGTCCACTCTGTTCCCATTATGGGAGGTTTTTGTGATGTTTTCTTTTCTGAGAGAACATAGTTCTGAGGATCCAAATGAACCTGCAACCACAATACTGAAGAGGCTCTTGCAGTGCCTCTGTGGGTTGCGTAACTATCCCCGATGGCTGCTGCAGCCATTCTGCGAGGGGCAGGGGTGTCTCAAAAATGGGACCCCTCTGCACTGTGAGGCTGAGTTAAAAATTGCTCCGAGTTTTTCCAGCTGTAACTATTGTGTCTATACATACCTTTGTTGTCCTAGCACACTGAAGCTGTTCGATGAGTATCAGGCATCCAAACCTTGTGCTTTTCCTGGCGATGGATCCATATGCTCCTAGGCTTGGAAGCGGCATCATGCTAAGCCAGCTTTCTACCCAGCCTCAACGGGCTTTGTGGCTGTAAACCACGCAGCGGAGATTGGGCTAGAAAGGCCCTTGCAATCCAGACAAAGTCAGGATCAGGTTTCAATAAATGCACTTTTCAACAGATTGATCTAGATGATCATGAATAAGTGATAGGACAGATATAAAGACACTTAGCTAATGGATACAAGGTTGGTGGGGAGGGGGAGTCCCTGACACCCTAGACCCTTATGGGAAGGAATGCAACCTTGCTGGTTTTTTGGTGTCAGGCTGAAATGAAGTCATACAGCCAGTCCCTGGGTTAGACTTGATCAGCAAAACCTGGACCAGCTGCTGGAAGGGAGGGGGAAGCTCAGGAGGCCACAGGTAAAGAGAGAGACAGAAGCAAGAACAGCTGAGCTGGCAACAGCCAACATGGAGCAGCTGGCAAGAGGGACAATACCTGCAACAGCAGCAGGGATAACAGAAGCAGAAGTCTACTTCTTGCAAGGCACAAGGACGACACGCTGCAGAGCAAGAAGTGACTGGATTTCACCCAGGAAGGACCCATGGCTCCCACACAGTGGCCCACTTGGCCCAGGCAGCCTCTGGAAGTCACCACAGCTCACGGAACCCAGCACAAAGCTGCAGCCATGGGTCCTACTGCTCCAGAGCTGCAGCCCAGGCTGAGCCCATGACTCAGACTAGTCCTACCAATTAGCAGCCCCATTCCTTGCTAATTAAGGAGCAAAGCCCTCAGCCTGCCAGCAGCTCTGCAAAATAGCAGTATCAGGAAAAGGTTTGTGCATTTTTTATATTGTCTAATCTAAGAGCAGTTTGTCACTTCTGGTCACTGATGTATGTGCACCGCTTCCCACCCCTCTTTTGCCTCCCCCTCCCATCTGTTCTGTTCCTTTCTCCTCCCCCAGTTTGGCTGCTACATACAGCTTCTCTTCTCCCCACTCTCCTGCACATCTCCCAGCTTCAGATATCCCCCAGGAAACGCGTGGTCCTTGAAGGTAATTCTTGCTCTTTTCAAACGAGCAACTACCCACTACAGCAACCACACCGGCTCTTCACCCTGACAGGGGGAGGGAGTGAACCCTCAACTGTTTTCCCACGCTTCAAGGCCACCCTTTGCCATGAGCACAAGGTGCACAGAGGGGAGGCAGGCATGCATCCTTCCAGACTTCACTGCAAGCTCTTTCCAGGCTCAGTTTAAGATGAGGCACCCCCTGCAATTCACTGGCCTCCTCAGGTGAAGCAACAATCCTATAGAGTCTGCAACCACCAGGGAACGTCTCACCTGCCTCAAAAATGCATACTAAAGCTCAGTTCATAAAGGCCAGCACCGCTTCCGTGCCTTCTCTACAAGCTCTTCCCCACCTAAAACTTGAATTTAAACCAAGTCATTCACTAGGGCACATTACTCGCATGGATCAACAGATGTGTATTCCCTGTCTCTGAACATCCCTGACACATCACGGCAACGCTGGCTTTCCCACATCTTCTCTGAAGCCCTGAAAGGAAGGAGGCGACATGGTGCATGCAAAAGCCTGGCCTGGCCTGGCCCTAGCAAAGCTTTCACTGACCAGTTGGCAGCTCCAAACTGAGCAAGTGAAGAGCTATTCCTGCCCTGCCCTTGGACATTGCTTTGGGTCTCCTCTCCTCTCCCTCTTGCCACCAAATATATAGTGAGGAAGATTCTTTGCAGCTCCCTCCCTCTCCCAAATTCGGCCAATGGCTTCAAGGTTGAAGCTGGGCTGATGGATGGCTGAGTGGCATTCAAGGTCCAGAGAGGAGAGCTCAGGGCCTCAGGAAGCCACGAGGATGTAGCAGTCTGTCACAGAGACGCCAGCTCCAGCATCCTGCCTCTGAGCAGCCACAACGCAACGCGTTTTGTAAAAATCTCAGCTGAGAGCCCTGAAACAGTATTTCTTCTGCAATGTTTGTTACACATAATTTGGGATTATGTCCAATGCCTTTTTGCATCTTGCCACATCCTTGACTTCAATAATTTCCTGCCGTGTGGAGTTCTACCATCTACTCACACTTTATATGGAAACGTACACTTTTTAATCAATCAGTCTCATCACTGTGAAGCAGAAAATCCCTTTTTCTCGCAGTTGGAGGCGGAGGAACAGAGGAATCCAATCCACCTTCTCTGTCTCATCCATTATTTTCTGCTCTTTTGCCGTGTCTTCCCCTATTTGTCATTTTGCTAATAAAGTATTCCCAGGGTTTTTAAACTCTTCACACGAGACATTCTCCCGGTGTTTGATCGTCCTCAGTGTCCTTCCCTCAAACACCACACACAAAGCAAGTGGAGCACCTTTGAGCTGGGATGCACTGTCAGCCAATCTGAAATAAGAGTGAAAGTGGGGAAAAGGGGGGAAACAGCCCACGCAAGTAAGAAGTTGGGGAACAGTAAAGACAGTAGAGTCCACGTTTCACTATCGTCTCTTCTAAAATCACTGGGGACAAAGACGTGTGCTTGTAGCAGCATCCAGCTACTGGACGGGAATGGCAGCATTGTGAATAACAACAGAGATGTGCTGAAGTTTTTAATAAACACTCCTGGAAATCACCCCTCTTGCATCACACTGGGATGCTGAAGTGCTTTCCCATATATTAGTAAATGGAAAGGATGTAAAACATTTTAAAAATCAACAGCCCCACAAGTTCCCAGCGATCTGTCCAATAAAGTTTCTCACCAGCTGATTTTCATTTTTGATAAGCCTGGAAATGATGAGGAAATTCCAAGAGACTGGAAGGGTCAGAGCCTAAAGGAGGGTGATAGCAGGATTATCCCAAGTAACCATGGGTTGATTAGTCTCACAGCCTCAGGGAAAATACCGAGTTTTTGCCTTCAGCTTTTCCAATGTAAAGAGACTCTAGCTTTAATCGCTGTCTGGAGCCAGTCAACATGTGGAAAGAAGTCTAGTCAAATAGACTTCTTCGTCCTTTGCACCCAAGCAAAAAGATAAATAGGACAGTAATAAATTCTCATGGTATTGACCATATAGAACACAGCATTCTGATAAAAGTCAGACCTTGAGGAGCAAACAGCAGCAAAGGGATCTCAAAACAGTTGTTACGAACGAGGAAAATCAGGACTAATTGAGGGGGTTTCTAAAAAAAACTTAGCAGAGGCAGTGCTATTTTGCATTCTCATCGAGGACCTAACATCAGAAGTAGGGCTGACAGTACTAGCAGATGCC